TATTTTAGCCAGCCTCGTGGGAAGCTATTCACGACGCTCTAACCACTGAACATCAATCCTACCAACATCATGTATGTTCATTTATATTTTTTGATTCATTAGAATCTTGTGACTGCCCTACGCTACACTGTTCCTCTGGAGTGCACTGAGGTAGAGAGGTTGGGCTCAGGGAATATAAGTTTAATTATTACATTCTGAGGGGAGCACTAAACACTGAAGGGTGAGAGAGAGCGTCTTGTGATGACGAGAAGACAGAGGACGTGACAGATGTGAGTTAGTCAGTCAGGCTTGGCGAAGTGTAAATACCTGGTAACGTTGTAACCAAACATGAGGAGGTCGAGGAAGTATACCTGAGCCAGTCTAACCACCTGAGAGCGGCTCAGCTGGCCATAGAGCTGCTCCTCCAGCTGGTGTGAGGTGGTGTTACCCAGCTGGTGGTGGTGTGTGGTGCTGTCCAAGGCTGCCTCCTCCAAGCCGCACTCCTGACGGAACTGCTGTAAGTCACGCTGGTAGTGCTCGTACCTGTAGTGACGCAACAACATTACAAAATTAAACTTTAAAACAGTGTGGGTCATTTAGCGTAAAGTGAGTGTGGAAACACACACACACACACATCACACACACACACACACACACACACACACACACACACACACACACACACACACACACACACACACACACACACACACACACACACACACACACACACACACACACACCTCGTAGTTAGGTTCCACCTGTAGTGGAAAGAATTATAATATACCTGGCTTTCCTAAACACAAATGGACGGTGCAAAATACCCTGAATAAAAAGCAAGTGTTCTCTTGAGTACAAGATAAAACTCAGTTAGTGTAAAGGGACCAAAACTCTTCAACACTCTCCCTTCATGAGGAACTTGAAAATTTCTTGAGTTAGTTCCCGGTCAGTCGAGCTGTAGTGTCTACCTTGATCTGCGTTCGGCTAGCACCAGCAGCTTGGTTGATCAAACTATCAACCAGGAAATCTGATCTGGTACCGGGTCGCGGGGGCGGTGACCCGAGAAATCGTCTTCAGCTATGATTTATTATTCTCCAATCCTTTCTCAGAAACTCCAGTCCTATCCAGGAGCCTCCAATCTTTCCCCACAACCTCCAATCCTCCTCAGAATCTCCAATCTTCCTCCAGAACATCCACCCCATGGATTTCCCAATCCCGTCCCGGAACACCCAATTCTACCCATAAAAGCTTTATTTCTCCCCAGAAAGTGCAGTAGTGCTCTTTCGTTGCCCACCTGAGTATGTGGGAATAGTTGAGGTGGCAGGGATCACAAAGGTAGTAGGCGGGATGCCAGTCCCTGGACCACTCTCGCCAGGTGCCTGGACGTGGGTCACACGAACTCCATTCGTCCAAGACGAAATCTACGAACTCTCGGAAGGTCGGCATTGGTGTTGCGTCACTGGTGTTGGTGCGGTACCTGCGTCGAGGACGATATGGACGGCACATATTTAATGTTCACGGTTAATAGGTGCAGCACCTACGTAGGGAAGGATAATGTGGAAAATACTGTGTATTTTCCGGAAATACGGTAATTTATAGATAAACAGATGCCCTATATTGTATTTTTAAAAGAAGTATGTTATCGAAAACTGAGCTTGTGTCTGCGCAGGAGTCTCGCCATCTTGGTTTTGAATTTTGTACAAATGCTGGTGTAATGGGAAGAATTTTTCGTGGTCTAGAGATTAAAATTGTGTTGACACCTCTCAAATAGGAGGCGAAATTGGTGGATGTGCATTCCTACATAACTTGAGATATCAGACGACTGGACAAGACAGCTCCAGGAACCTCAGATAAGCTCTCTAGATTTGTGTGTAATTCTGGCCAGCATTATTTTCATAGATTTAGTTAGAGTGAGGTTTTCTGAGTATGATACACATTAATCTCCAGTCAAATTGGTGAGTGATATTAAGATATATTTTCTTTCTGTTATGTAATTGTGTATATATATAACCATTTATTATTTTTAATATACAGTCCACAAATTTATATATTTACCAGAATTCCTGGTGATGTATATTTCATTTAATTAATAGGTCCAGAGCAACTTGTGGTTATGACAGTGGTAGGTATCGAAGGGGGACATTTTTGCGACCTAGGTGTCCCAAATTCCTACTTGTCTAATTGATAAATAATAATTATCTATGTTCATTTATTGTTATGTACATAATTATACATACAGATAAATGCAATTTTCCACATTTAATTTGCCCGTTGGTCCTTCTTGAACCGGAGGTAATTAGTGAAGTCATTAATTAGTTAATTACTTAATAATTATATGTGAAATAACAGGAGGTGGATGTTAAGTTCACAAATTTACTTAATGTGTAGTGGATTATAATTATTACAATATTAATTTGGATAAGTCAAGTGTGGCTAAAGATTATATTAATGTGTATAAGTGTATGTGTAATTGATAAGCCAAGTGTAACTAATTATATTAATGTGTATAATATTAATTTGCTATGCCAAATTTTGGCAAGGATTTATATTAATTTGTATAATATTAATTTGATAAGACAATTCTGGCCAAGATTTATATCAGTGAATGTGTAATTGATAAGCCAAGTGTAGCTAATTATATTAATGTGTATAATAATTTTGCAAAGCTAAAGTGGTTAGGATTTATATTAATGTATTTGTATAATATTAATTTGACAAGACAATTCTGGCCAAGATTTATATCAGTGAATGTGTAATTGATAAGACAAGTGTGGCTAAAGATTATATTGTGTATAATATTAATTTGCTATGCCAAATTCTGGCAAGGATTATATTAATTTGTGTAATATTAATTTTGATAAGCCAAGTTTGGCTAAAGGTTTGTATTAATGTACATTTAAAATTTATATAATTTTCTTACATGTAATTGCTAAGCTCAGGTAGCTAGGATTTATTCAAAGGTAAGTTGTACTATTTACCTTTATAAAGTGCATAATTTAGTACATAATCAGTGTTATTAAGTTGAATTTAATACATTGCATCATGGCTGAAAATGAGGAAATTAATATAGAAGACAAACATATGGAATATAGAGTAAAGAAAGCATCACTACAGGCTAGAAAAGTTCATGTAACCAAGGCATATAATAAGTGCTTGGAATTAATGAATCAAGAAACTGTGAATAATGATGATCTAAAATTGTATTTAGATGCTTTAGGTAATAGATATGATTCATACAAATTATATTACAACAAATATGAAGGAGATTTGTTAGTAAACTGTGTAGATGAGACTGAAGTAGATCAGTATTATGAATTAGAGGAAAAGATTCTTTCTTGTAAAAGTCAGGCCTTGAATAAATTAAAATGTGTAAACCAGACAGTTAATCAGTCTGCTCCAACAAATAATATGTCTTTGCCAAAACTCCCAGAATTATGTTTACCTGTGTTTAATCCTGGAGAAAATTAGGAGGAATTTTGGTCAATTTTTAAAGCAGCTGTGCATGAGAGAGACCTAGCCTGTGTAACTAAATTATTTTACCTCAAAGGACAGGTAAGAGGAGATGCTCACATACTCATACAAGCTGTGGAAAATACTGTATATATTTTCCAGAAATTCAGTATCTATATGTAAATAGATGGCCATACTGTATTTAATAATATTTATGTCATAGAAAACGGAAAGCCTGCGTCGGTGCAGACGAGAATCGCCATCTTGGTTTTGAATTTTGTACAAACGTTGGTGTAATGGGAAGAATTTTTCGTGCTCTAGAGGTTAAAATTGTGTTGACACCTCTCAAATAGGAGGCGAAATTGGTGGATGTGCATTCCTACATAACTTGAGATATCAGACGACTGGACAAGACAGCTCCAGGAACCTCAGATAAGCTCTCTAGATTTGTGTGTAATTCTGACCAGCATTATTTTCATAGATTTAGTTAGAGTGAGGTTTTCTGAGTATGATACACATTAATCTCCAGTCAAATTGGTGAGTGATATTAAGATATATTTTCCTTCTGTAATGTAATTGTGTATATATATAACCATTTATTATTTTTAATATACAGTCCACAAATTTATATATTTACCAGTATTCCTGGTGTATGTATATTTCATTTAATTAATAGGTCCAGAGCAACTTGTGGTTATGACAGTGGTAGGTATCGAAGGGGGACATTTTTGCGACCTAGGTGTCCCAAATTCCTACTTGTCTAACTGTTAAATAATAATTATCTATGTTCATTTATTGTTATGTACATAATTATACATACAGATAAATGCAATTTTCCACAGATAATACTAATCTTCACTCACGTAGGTAAGGCACCTGTATACTGAATAATAAGTAATGGCCAACTGGATGGTTTAAACCCTATAGACTACACGAGGGTCATTATGGCTGTATGAAACTTGTTTATCAAAGTCAGAATACCTTAATTCCTAAACCTCACGGTGTATATATCCTGTGAATGGTCAGCTTTAACTGCCTTCCCATATATACTGAGTTAGGGAGGAAGGAGGTTATAAAGTCAAAGGCTGGTGAGAATCAAATTCTGTTCCCCTTAGCTACACTGTTTCTGTTATGAAGGTTGGGTTACCTGCTGAACCACAGATATATACTCTTGCCTGCCTGTTTTTCTTAGTGTTATATTGGCGTTGTCAGGTTATTACTTGTTTGTAAAGGCTAACTCGTATAATTCAAACTCATCTAGTATACTTTTTAGCAAACATATGATAATTTTTTTTTAAGCGAGGCACAGGAATCCTAGTGGCTGCTTAACTACTCAGTAAGCCATTATTTAACTAATAACTCTTAAAAGCAATTATTCAAATTCTAATTTTTACTTCTCTGTGGTACAAAATAATGTAGTTTACATGTAATAAGACACTGGTAGGTACAAAACAAGGCCTCTAGTATGCAATGTATTTCGGGTAAACTAATCCTAGTGCTTAAGGAAAAAACAAGCAAAATATGGCGCATATCTACGTTAAAATGAGAAGCAATCTCTCTCTGGCCTAGTTGAAAATCCCAACATTGTAGCTAATAAGCTACACAAGGTTTCATTGATTGTTATTATGAAGAAGGAGAATTACGTGAAAGCAGATAACAAACATCTTGTGGAAAATACTGTATATTTTCCGAAAATACACTGTATTTTGTATGTAAATTGATGGAATATATTGTAGGTAATAAAAATTAATTTGTAAACAAATAAAGAACCAGTGAGAGTGGTGAGCGTCGCTGGGGGGAGGGTCGCCATTGTTTTTGAACTGGGCAGGATAACGTTGGAGGAAATCGGAAGAATTTTCGTCGCTCTAGAGATTAAGTTGTGTTTAAAACCTTTCAAATAGGAGCCAAAATTGTTGGATTTGCAGTCCTGCAGAACGTGAGAATTAGGCGACTGGACAGGACTCCGTAATTAGATGGGAATAGGATAAATTAACCTAGGTGATGTCTATTTATGTTGAAATTCTGGCCAGTATTTTCTTAATGTTTTAGGCAGGGGTTTGTGTATGACACACCAAGTAATCTCCAGACAAATTGGTGAGGGTTATTATTATAAATTCTCCTTCAATGTATATGTAGACATTTATTAAATTTAACATAGTCCACATATTTATATTAATGTTGTACCAGAATTCCTGGTGATGTATATTTCATTTGAAATTAATATAGGTCCAGAGTGACTTGTGGAGATGTGAGTGAGTAGGTATCGAAGGAGGACATTTTTTGCGACCTAGGATGTCCTAAAATTCCTACATGGCTCTGTAACCTTGATAAAGAATAATTATCTTTGTTACTTTTATATAATTACTAGTATGTATCTAATGAGATTCATCCAGGTAATTTTAATTTTCCATACAACTGAAGAATCCTACTACTTATGTGGAACTCGATAGACCCCATAAAGACTGCCTTCTTCTGGTTCACCTGTGTTTAATGATGGTCCTCAGGTAGAGGTAGTCCCTGACGGTGGTGTTGCGAGCAACCATCTTGTCCCTGTAGGTGGAGACCAGCCTCTGCAGTGGATGTCTCACCACCATCACCGAGCACACCGAGTTCTGGATAACAGACTTCGCCTTCTCTGTGTTCTGTGGTAGTCTGAAGCGGCTCCGGGCCTGTAGGACACATGCAACACCATATACTAATACAAGGATACACAATAGATCCCGAGTTGGACTTTATACTGCTTGTCAGTGGAAATATGTCACAAGGACCCCAATAGAAATAAGTCACTTTGACTTTTTTAGGTTATCCTGGGTAATTTACACTAATATGATGATTGTATTTATATGTGCTTGTGCCTAAATAAACTTACTAATCGGAAAAAGCTGAATTGATGTTATTGCACAATAGCAGACTAAATATTTCTCCATTTATAATATGTTATAGTGTGTATGAAGGGATACAATAGTGGAATGACAGATCTCTAATCCTGGCAGGAAAAGTAAGACAAAATCAGGCAGACAAATATGAATCTTTTTATATAATTTCTATGATATTTTTGTCATATTTTGCAAAATGAAACTTTAGAAAGAATAAGAATGTTCGTTCTAAAGTCTTAGTACTTGATGTAAAGCCTCATACAGCGCGTTTGACGTCGCCAGCCATCTCGTAGTGTCTGGTGTTCTTACTGACGCTGAACTCCATGGGCACGTCCCTCCTGATGGCTCCCTCCACGGGTACGTCCCTCTTGATGGCACCCTCCACGGGTACGTCCCTCTTGATGGCACCCTCCACGGGCACGTCCCTCCTGATGGCACCCTCCACGGGCACGTCCCTCCTGGTGGCTCCTCGCTCACTCATCTGAAGGAAGTATGCGTCCCAAGTGGTCGACATTGCCTGTGCGAAACACAAATAGCATCAAAAGATATCCACAGCTCTTCAGAAGGAAGCAAGTTGAGGAAATGTGCATCTCAGAGGAAGTCAGGACACGCTAGTAGGTGAAAAACGTACCTCCCTCCCTTCCTCACTAGGATTATCACCAAGGTGGTGGGTCTATTAACCAGGTACTAGGATTATTACCAAGGTGGTGGGTCTATTAGCCAGGTACTAGGATTATCACCAAGGTGGTGGGTCTATTAGCCAGGTACTAGGATTATCACCAAGGTGGTGGGTCTAGTAGCCAGGTACTAGGATGTATCACCAAGGTGGTGGGTCTAGTAGCCAGATACTAGGATTATCACCAAGGTGGTGGGTCTATTAGCCAGGTACTAGGATTATCACCAAGGTGGTGGGTCTATTAGCCAGGTACTAGGATTATCACCAAGGTGGTGGGTCTAGTAGCCAGGTACTAGGATGTATCACCAAGGTGGTGGGTCTAGTAGCCAGATACTAGGATTATCACCAAGGTGGTGGGTTTAGTAGCTAGGTACTAGGATTATCACCAAGGTGGTGGGTCTAGTAGCCAGGAGTAGCCAGGTACTAGGATGTATCACCAAGGTGGTGGGTCTAGTAGCCAGGAGTAGCCAGGTACTAGGATGTATCACCAAGGTGGTGGGTCTAGTAACCAGGTACTAGGATTATCACCAAGGTGGTGGGTCTATTAGCCAGGTACTAGGATTATCACCAAGGTGGTGGGTCTATTAGCCAGGTACTAGGATTATCACCAAGGTGGTGGGTCTAGTAGCCAGGTACTAGGATGTATCACCAAGGTGGTGGGTCTAGTAGCCAGGTACTAGGATGTATCACCAAGGTGGTGAGTCTAGTAGCCAGTTACTAGGATTTATCACCAAGGTGGTGGGTCTAGTAGCCAGGTACTAGGATTATCACCAAAGATGTCACTAGTGACCAGGTATTAGGATTTTTATCACCACTTGAGAGAATCTTAAAATATAGCTACTAGGTATTAACATCGTAGTTATACGATATAATTCACTTTACTTTCAACAGGAATTTCTATCAGTAGGATTTTTAATTGTGAAATATGAGGCTAGGGAGCAACTAGAATAATTATTGAGAACCTACCCTATCGCTGAGGTATTTTTATAATATAGATTTAAAAAGTTTTGTATATAGCAATTATCAGTTTAACAAAAAGAAATATAACTTATCTAAAATAAAAACTGAATGAAAAATACTAATAAAAAGCTAAGAAACGCTACAAAATAAATAAAAACAAGAGATAGACTAGAAAATATCAAGAAAATAGACAAAAATAAGAAAATATTAAGAAACGAGAATAAACACAGGAAATATCAAAACCAAACGAGAGAAAAGTCAGAAAATATGAATATTTGTTAGTATGTTATTATTATGGCCAGTTCAGAGAGGCGAATGATGGGTCCAGGAACTAGAGACTGAGGTATATGGTCTGCACCTTCCAGACGGGACAGTAGACGAGGTCCCGCTGTCTCTGGTACAGAATATGCTGGTATATCTTCCTGAAGGAGGCGCGGCTGGGGGTAGACAAGACGCCATCATAGTCCTCACATACACTCCTCAATCTCTCTCTTATGCTCATCTTCCTCCTCACTGCTCCCTGAAACAATTATTATTATAAATAGAAAGAAATTCCTTGTGTTTTTTTTAATCGGATCTCATCATTTCTGCAACATTGCAAGTTCCTGATGATCTGTTGATTGCAACACCAAGTCTCAAGTTATCATTCAATTATATATATATGTGTATATATATATATATATATATATATATATATATATATATATATATATATATATATATATAATATATATATATATATATATAATATAAATATAATATATATATATATATATATATATATATATATATATATATATATATATATATATATAAATATATATAATTATATATATATATATATATATATATATATATATATATATATATATATATATATATAAATATATATATATATATATATATATATATATATATATATATATATACCTGGACGATTGCTAAGATAAATTCTTGCTTACTTTTACCCTTGCATTCCGTTTAACGGTATAGCAGAGTGTACCGTTATACAACAGACGGCCGTTAGTGTGCACTCTGGGGTGAACGTTCCTATGTGATGGTTCGGTTATATTTTAACAGTGTAGCGGTATATATTTGTGTGATTATATAGCATCAAGGAACCTCCCTTGATGGCAGTATACAGTGAGCACTGAATATACTCTTAAAGAAATATACAGGAGTTTTAAGGAGGATATATAACGCTTAACCAAGATGTTCATATAACAGGAGAATAACAGCAAATCTCCAGTTATAGTCACTTCCTCCATGAGTTATTTATATCTTATTAAGTGTTCTGTGTATTTCTTGACCACTGTATATTACATCAGTGGTGCTAATATAGCCACTGTTTGGTCAAACACCTACAAAATAAAGATATCCAGACGTTGTATAAGTGTCTAATACGCTTATATATTATAATCAAAAGGAATTCGATAACAATAAAGGTTAATAATTCTTGTAGCTTGTAAATGCTTGACCAAACTTGCACCATATATCACCTGGGAAATAGGGATTAATTAGACTTGAGGTACGAAAAAAGAGAGCAGATAGTTAATTCAGAGGTTTTTAACCTTTCTACGATTACAGACCCAAAATGGATTGCCCAGTATGTCCCCCATACCCACTTACTAAACTGTCGCAATCATTATCATTAGGTACCAGTATGACTTTGAAATATGTCAACAATTTGGTTTTACTTTATATATGGAGAGTTAGGAACAAAACAGCTGATAGTTTATTCTAATCTTACAACTTTTGTTTTAATTATTCAGAGATAGGATCTCATGCCTCATTATTTGGTTGCCAGACCCACAAGGGTTATGGATGCCCCAGGTTAAGAACCTCTGCCTTAATTCTTTTTAATGGGAATTATATGAAGGAAGTTACCCAGTGGTCTCCGGTGAGGAATTTTGTGAAGTGTTGTATGGAGACCCCAGGAGGCAGGAGGTTATTAACCCTCCCCCAGGGTTTACCTCTCCACGTCTTACTTCCGCCATCACCCAGGAAGCTCCTCCCCAACCTGCCACCCCACTCCATGCTGTTGTTAGCCACATAACTGTAGAGTGAGTGCAGGATAGTCCTGGGTTGCTTCATCAAGGGTTGGGTAGAGTGGTGAGTGGTGTTCAAGAACACAAGAACACCAGTCAAGAAGAACATCAACAATATCCAACCTAATACTCGTGTTAGTCTTGGCAGCCTCATTTTCCATCCTTCACTGGGTCATCACTCATGTCAATATTTGTTTGTATTCACGTCTTAGTGACCTGTTAGTCCCTTATTTTAAAAGTATCCAACATTGGCTCTCCATCACATATATCAGTGTCACCTTTGTCATCATCACTACAATATAATTCTAAATATACAATATCTAAACAGATGTTACAATTAGTCATTGTTATGTGGTTCATATTACATAGTATTTAGGTCACATAACATAGTATATAGGTCACATAATACATAAGTCACATAATACATAGGTCACATAACATAGTATATAGGTCACATAATACATAGGTCACATAACATAGTATATAGGTCACATAATACATAGGTCACATAACATAGTATATAGGTCACGTAATACATAGGTCACATAACATAGTATATATGTCACATAACAGTAAACAGGTCACACTAAACACTTCATGGTCACATGAAAGACATGCTGGTGATCAGGTCATTTTCTCTTCTTTTTCAAGTTATTGACACTTTCAAATTAGTTTTAAAATCACAAATTAGGGTATAAATATGTGCAATATACGTTATATAACAGCAGATTTTTCTGCATGTTAAGGTATAGCGCTTTTTAACACAGTAATATAATGTTGCAGAGGTAAGAGCAAGACTCCTCCTCGTCCTGCAACAGCAGCAGCAACACTGAGAATGTTGCTTCACCTTTGTGTCTCCTTCACCATCAACCAACAATCAACCTGACGCAACATTAACATTTTTAACCTTTGTACCACAACTTGCAGTTAACCTTCCAGCTATAAATTAGGCCTAATGCATTATATGACAAGAATAATTAAGTGGAGTTATAAGTTACATTAAGTCTGGTTTAACGTGTTTATTTAATAAGAGGAAAAAAGCTGACATAGGAACGAAGTCCTGTGAAAAATACAGCTGAGTAAGATCTCTTGATAGAGGTGGTTTAGGTCTGCACCTGTGTCATGTATCAACATAGTGGTGTTTCAGGTCTGCACCTGTGTCATGTATCAACATAGTGGTGTTTCAGGTCTCCACCTGCGTTATGTATCAACACAGTGGTGTTTCAGGTCTGCACCTGTGTTATGTATCAACGTAGTGGTGTTTCAGGTCTGCACCTGTGTCATGTATCAACATGTGGTGTTTCAGGTCTGCACCTATGTCATGTATCAACATAGTGGTGTTTCAGGTCTCCACCTGTGTTATGTATCAACATAGTGGTGTTTCAGGTCTGCACCTGTGTTATGTATCAACGTAGTGGTGTTTCAGGTCTGCACCTGTGTCATGTATCAATATGTGGTGTTTCAGGTCTGCACCTGTGTTATGTATCAACATAGTGGTGTTTCAGGTCTGCACCTGTGTCATGTATCAACATAGTGGTGTTTCAGGTCTGCACTTGTGTCATGTATCAACATAGTGGTGTTTCAGGTCTGCACCTGTGTCATGTATCAACATAGTGGTGTTTCAGGTCTGCACCTGTGTCATGTATCAACATAGTGGTGTTTCAGGTCTGCACCTGTGTCATGTATCAACATAGTGGTGTTTCAGGTCTGCACCTGTGTCATGTATCAACATAGTGGTGTTTCAGGTCTGCACCTGTGTTATGTATCAACATAGTGGTGGTTCAGGTCTGCACCTGTGTTATGTATCAACATAGTGGTGTTTCAGGTCTGCACTTGTGTCATGTATCAACATAGTGGTGTTTCAGGTCTGCACCTGTGTTATGTATCAACATAGTGGTGTTTCAGGTCTCCACCTGTGTCATGTATCAACATGTGGTGTTTCAGGTCTCTACCTGTGTCATGTATCAACATAGTGGTGGTTCAGGTCTGCACCTGTGTTATGTATCAACATAGTGGTGGTTCAGGTCTGCACCTGTGTTATGTATCAACATAGTGGTGGTTCAGGTCTCCACCCATGTCATGTATCAACATAGTGGTGGTTCAGGTCTGCACCTGTGTCATGTATCAACATGTGGTGGTTCAGGTCTCCACCTGTGTCATGTATCAACATAGTGGTGGTTAAGGTCTGCACCTGTGTTATGTATCAACATAGTGGTGGTTCAGGTCTGCACCTGTGTCATGTATGAACATAGTGGTGTTTCAGGTCTGCACTTGTGTCATGTATCAACATAGTGGTGTTTCAGGTCTGCACCTGTGTTATGTATCAACATAGTGGTGTTTCAGGTCTGCACCTGTGTTATGTATCAACATAGTGGTGTTTCAGGTCTGCACCTGTGGTATGTATCAACATAGTGGTGTTTCAGGTCTGCACCTGTGTCATGTATCAACATGTGGTGTTTCAGGTCTCCACCTGTGTCATGTATCAACATAGTTGTGGTTAAGGTCTGCACCTGTGTTATGTATCAACATAGTGGTGGTTCAGGTCTGCACCTGTGTCATGTATGAACATAGTGGTGTTTCAGGTCTGCACTTGTGTCATGTATCAACATAGTGGTGTTTCAGGTCTGCACCTGTGTTATGTATCAACATGGTGGTGTTTCAGGTCTGCACCTGTGTTATGTATCAACATAGTGGTGTTTCAGGTCTGCACCTGTGGTATGTATCAACATAGTGGTGTTTCAGGTCTGCACCTGTGTCATGTATCAACATGTGGTGTTTCAGGTCTCCACCTGTGTCATGTATCAACATAGTGGTGGTTAAGGTCTGCACCTGTGTTATGTATCAACATAGTGGTGGTTCAGGTCTGCACCTGTGTCATGTATGAACATAGTGGTGTTTCAGGTCTGCACTTGTGTCATGTATCAACATAGTGGTGTTTCAGGTCTGCACCTGTGTTATGTATCAACATAGTGGTGTTTCAGGTCTGCACCTGTGTTATGTATCAACATAGTGGTGTTTCAGGTCTGCACCTGTGTTATGTATCAACATAATGGTGTTTCAGGTCTGCACCTGTGGTATGTATCAACGTAGTGGTGTTTCAGGTCTGCACCTGTGTTATGTATCAACATAGTGGTGTTTCAGGTCTGCACCTGTGTCATGTATCAACATGTGGTGTTTCAGGTCTCCACCTGTGTCATGTATCAACATAGTGGTGGTTCAGGTCTGCACCTGTGTTATGTATCAACATAGTGGTGGTTCAGGTCTGCACCTGTGTCATGTATGAATATAGTGGTGTTTCAGGTCTGCACTTGTGTCATGTATCAACATAGTGGTGTTTCAGGTCTGCACCTGTGTTATGTATCAACATAGTGGTGTTTCAGGTCTGCACCTGTGTTATGTATCAACATAGTGGTGTTTCAGGTCTCCACCTGTGTCACGTATCAACATAGTGGTGTTTCAGGTCTCCACCTGTGTCATGTATCAACATAGTGGTGTTTCAGGTCTGCACCTGTGTTATGTATCAACATAGTGGTGTTTCAGGTCTCCACCTGTGTTATGTATCAACATAGTGGTGGTTCAGGTCTCCACCTGTGTTATGTATCAACATAGTGTTGGTTCAGGTCTCCACCTGTGTCATATATCAACATAGTGGTGTTTCAGGTCTGCACCTGTGTTATGTATCAACATAGTGGTGGTTCAGGTCTCCACCTGTGTTATGTATCAACATAGTGGTGGTTCAGGTCTCCACCTGTAAGTGAGTAAGTAAGTTTATTCAGGTATACACAAATACAGTTACATATAATTATCATACATAGCAGCATATGTGTAGAGAACCTGGGATAACCCAAAAAAGTCAGACAGAGTGACTTATTTCCATTGGGGTCCTTTTACCTTATTATTATAATGTAAAGGTTATAATATTTTCTTATTATTCTATAATGAAGATAACATCTTATCATACTAAAAAGACTATCTACTACACCAAGGTCATTAAGACTATCTATAATACGAGGGTCATTACTAGGAATAAGGTAAAATTTACACGTATGTTAGCTAAAAAATAGAAAATCATTCCCCTCCCTTTCTGTAGCTACATTCATCAGACACCTTTTGGCACTCTTCTTGAACTGGTTCATGCTATGACTGGCTTTGACATGTGCGGGTAGTCTGTTCCATTTCTTTATTGCTGTACAATAAAAGGTGTTTGACGCCTGGCCACTGACTGTGGCTACTACAAAGTTGTGCTCTCTCCCCCTAGTACTATGATTGCTTTGGTTCCCAACCTTGACAAAATTGACAGCAAGATATTCTGGACACTGTGAGCAATTTTATAAACATGATTTAGCTTCAGTTGTTTTACTCTGTCTTCAACATTCAGCATATCCAACTGCTGTAATTCATCCTGGCCTACATGTTCTCTTGGTCCCAGACCCAGGATGAATCTTACGATTTTGTTCTGGGTGATTTGCAGTCTCTCCTTCAGTTTTTTTGTCAAGGCAGAGTACCATGAAGAGCATGCGTAATCCATATGGCATTGTATAAGGGCTAGACATAGGGTCCTGCGAGCCTCAGTAGGTAGACACTGTGCTTGTGTATGTATCAACATAGTGGTGGTTCAGGTCTCCACCTGTGTCATGTATCAACATAGTGGTGGTTCAGGTCTGCACCTGTGTTATGTATCAACATAGTGGTGGTTCAGGTCTGCACCTGTGTCATGTATCAACATACGAAGCTTCAAATATTTTAATCACTACGTCATCCAAGAAAGATGTCACTGTCTATATTCTATAAATCCAATCCCTTAAAGTTTATTTTAGGTACAGGTCCATATAAATACAATTATTATACGCAGCAACGTGTGTAAATTACCCAGGATGACTAAAAAAAGTCAGATAAAGTGACTTATTTCCATTGGTGGTACTTGTAATATCCTGTTATTTAAAGCCTAATTAAAACTTCTATGTAACTTAAGTGTGTGAAAATCAGTTACAATAAAAGGAGGTACAATAACAATAAAATAAACTGTTATTAACATTAAACAGAAGATCAGCTTGCAATAATAGTTACATCTATGTTACCTATACAAGAAATACTCTCTTCTTGTAGCTACATTCATTAGGTACCTAAACTGGCTCATGCTAGCACATCCTGGCTCATGCTAGCACATGCTGGCTCATGCTAGCACATGCTGGCTCATGCTAGCACATGCTGGCTCATGCTAACACATGCTGGCTCATGCTAGCACATGCTGGCTCATGTTAACACATGCTGGCTCATGCTAGCACATGCTGGCTCATGCTAGCACATGCTGGCTCATGCTAGCACATGCTGGCTCATGCTAGCACATGCTAGCTCATGCTAGCACGTGCTGGCTCATACTAGCACATGCTGACTCATGCTAGCACATGCTGGCTCATGCTAACACAGGTGCAGGCAGTCTGTTCCACTCCTTGATGCACACTAAAGGAATAGTGCAAAGTTTGGCTTAAATTTAACGTTAGGATAATTAAAAAGATATGGCTTCAAGGCTACCATATTATCCATACGATATAACATAAATTTGGCAGTAAATAGGTACCTGGGTGTTAGTGGACTGGTGTGGGTCGCATCCTGGGGACACAACCCAAGTTGCCAGAAATGATTGCATAACCAGAGGCTTTCTGATTTGATCCAAGGGAAGGGAGATTATCTTTAATTTCCCTGGATCATTGTTCTTGTTCCAGGGCAGCTAGCTGCTCGCCCTCCTACTTTGCAAGAACTATCTTGGTCAAAAAATACTAAGATACCGGTAAGACTGATAGATGGAGTGGGTTATGAGTGATAGATGGAGTGGGTTATGAGTGATAGATGGAGTGGGTTATCAGTGGGTGATAACTGTAGTGGGTTATCAGTGGGTGATGGTAAGTGTGTGGTGTTGATCGCTATGGTAGGTGGTCAGTCAGTCCTCAAGATGACTTCAATCAAGGAACACCTTGAATTTAAGGTCAGTGTTCCTTAATGTTTTTATTTTACGTTAACACTTGTGGGTTACTGAGGTGGGTTACTGAGGTGGGTTACTGAAGTGGGTTACTGAAGTGGGTTACTGAAGTGGGTTACTGATGTGGGTTACTGAAGTGGGTTACTGAGGTAGGTTACTGAGGTGGGTTACTGAAGTGGGTTACTGAAGTGGGTTTCTGAGGTGGGTTATTGAAGTGGGTTTCTTAGGTGGGTTACTAAGGTGGGTTACTGAAGTGGGTTACTGAGGTAGGTTACTGAGGTGGGTTACTGAAGTGGGTTACTGAAGTGGGTTTCTGAGGTGGGTTATTGAAGTGGGTTTCTTAGGTGGGTTACTGAGGTGGGTTACTGAAGTGGGTTACTGAAGTGGGTTTCTGAGGTGGGTTATTGAAGTGGGTTTCTTAGGTGGGTTACTAAGGTGGGTTACTGAAGTGGGTTACTGAGGTAGGTTACTGAGGTGGGTTACTGAAGTGGGTTGCTGAAGTGGGTTTCTGAGGTGGGTTATTGAAGTGGGTTTCTTAGGTGGGTTACTGAGGTGGGTTACTGAAGTGGGTTACTGAAGTGGGTTTCTGAGGTGGGTTATTGAAGTGGGTTTCTTAGGTGGGTTACTAAGGTGGGTTACTGAAGTGGGTTACTGAGGTAGGTTACTAAGGTGGGTTACTGAAGTGGGTTTCTTAGGTGGGTTACTGAGGTGGGTTACTGAAGTGAGTTACTGAGGTGGGTTACCAAGGTGAGTTACACAACCTTACTGACCTAATGTTTACTAAAGATTTATATTAACTGAACGGACATCATTTCGAAATTCATAGTTTTGGATTTTTTCAACTGTTAATAATACCGACGTTACATTATTTTCGATAATTTTAATAAAAGATGTGGATACAGCCATTTATTTTACTTATAAATACTTTTTGACCAGATTAGTTTCATAGCTACGGGAGAACACTAAACCAGCATCTGTGATGTTGAGGTACAGTTCCTGGACCTATCATGTGCTTCTGTAATGTTGAGGTACAGTCCCTGGACCCATTATGTGCCTAATCTTTTGACTACCACCCATAGGATGGGTATGTGGTGACTACCACCCACAGTGAGTGTGGGGTGACTACCACCCACAGAATGTGTGGGGTGACTACCACCTACAGGATGAGTGTGTGGTGACTACCACCCACAATGAGTGTGGGGTGACTACCACCCACAGGATGAGTGTGGGGTGACTACCACCTACAGGATGAGTGTGTGGTGACTACCACCCACAGGATGAGTGTGGGGTGACTACCACCCACAGAATGAGTGTGGGGTGACTACCACCCACAGAATGTGTGGGGTGACTACCACCCACAGGATGAGTGTGGGGTGACTACCACCCTCAGGATGAGTGTGGGGTGACTACCACCCACAGAATGGGTGTGGGGTGACTACCACCCACAGAATGGGTGTGGGGTGACTACCACCCACAGGATGGGTGTGGGGTGACTACCACCCACAGGATGGGTGTGGAGTGACTACCACCCACAGAATGAGTGTGGGGTGACTACCACCCACAGAATGAGTGTGGGGTGACTATCACCCACAGAATGAGTGTGGGGTGACTACCACCCACAGGATGGGTATGTGGTGAGTTGAGTCTCAGCTCCTGGCACGGCCTTGACCGCTTTCATAAGTACGTACCGCAGGGGACTTTCCGACCTACCCCAAAACTGTGTATGGTGTTTTCACTGACACAAAAATACACGTACCGTCCAGACTACCGCCCACAGGATGGGTATGGGGTGCATAATAAACATATTAAACTAAACCGTCCAGTCATAGGTCATACAAGACCGACGGTGGAGGAGAACTAAGCGTAGTTATCAAGGTTATCACAGGTCCTCAGATATTATCATTGACATGGCTTCTGTTGTTAATGTCCTTCTCTGTAGGTCCTTATCACATAGCTGTTTTTCTGTTGGTTTCGTTATCACATAGCTGCTCTTTGTTGGTCCCGTTATCACATAGCTGCTCTTCTGTTTGTTCCGTTATCACATAGCTGCTCTTCTGTTGGTCCCATTATCACATAGCTGCTCTTCTATTGGTTCCTTTATTACATAGCTGCTCTTCCGTTGGTTCCTTTATCACATAGCTGCTCTTCTGTTGGTTCCTTTATCACATAGCTGCTCTTCTGTTGGTTCCTTTATCACATAGCTGCTCTTCCGTTGGTTCCTTTATCACATAGCTGCTCTTCCGTTGGTTCCTTTATCACATAGCTGCTCTTCTGTTGGTTCCGTTATCACATAGCTGCTCTTCTGTTGGTTCCGTTATCACATAGCTGCTCTTCTGTTGGTTCCGTTATCACATAGCTGCTCTTCTGTTGGTTCCGTTATCACATAGCTGCTCTTCTGTTGGTTCCGTTATCACATAGCTGCTCTTCTGTTGGTTCCATTATCACATAGCTGCTCTTCTGTTGGTCCCGTTATCACATAGCTTAGTACTGTTGTGTTAGGGTTCAGTGTTTGTCAGGTAACCTGTCAGTGTTATATCTGGACTCATTATCAGAGATCTTACCACTTGTGTGTCTGAGTTGCTGCGTCTAGTTAAAGAACTCAAGTTGTCTAAACACTTGTGTATAACAGTGTAACGTTGTCAAGAGCAAACAGATAGTTGAATTAAGATGATATTAAGATAACGGAAGAAGCAATACAGAAATTATTAATGGATGTTAACAAAATGAAGCAATAGGACAGATGGATCAACTTAATTGGTTATTAATGGGCGATCAGGAGAACTGAGGTATCCCCTGCAGTATCCTCCTTAGAAATTATTTACGATTTCGCTTCAGGAAGGAAAATTGGCAGACGGATGGAAGATACCACATTGTTTACCTGGAGTTTACCTGGAGAGAGTTCCGGGGGTCAACGCCCCCGCGGCCCGGTCTGTGACCAGGCCTCCTGGTGGATCAGAGCCTGATCCACCTGTGCTAATATTTTAAAAATTGAAATAAGAAGTGTATATTATGAACAGTATATATGATGAATATACAGTACTTGTGTTCTTGTAGTTACTAACAGGGAATTACAACTAGGTAAGTACCTAGTGATTGTCTCAGTAAGTAAAACATTTGCCTCAGCTTAACTCAGAACACCCCTCAAGGCAGGTTCCTTGATGCTGGTGAGGGGCTCTTGATCTAGGGAATTGGATCTGTGCTCCAGTTCCCTGAATTGAGCCTGAATACCTTCCATCCCCCACATGTGCTGTATAATCCTACGGGTTTAGCGCTCCCCATGACTATAATTATAATAATCAACTCAGAACAACACTTAACATCAGTAAGCTAAACAACACAGTTCAATATTATAGGATATTGTGTGGTTTAAGAAAAACAACTTCGGTTTACTAGATGCGCAGTTGAGCAAGTTTCAAGTCTATACGGAAAGGTGTTTAAGATCAGACTTTCTTAGGATTTCTAACCCCGGAGGGTTAGCCACCCAGGGTAACTTAAGAAAGTCAGTGCGTCATCAAGAGACTGTCTGTCCTATTTCCATTGTGGTCCTCAATCTTATCCCCCAGGATGAGAGAGTTCCGGGGGTCAACGCCCCCGCGGCCCGGTCTGAGACCAGGCCTCCTGGTGGATCAGAGCCTGATCAACCAGGCTGTTGCTGCTGGCTGCACGCAAACCAACATACGAGCCACAGCCCGGCTGATCCGGAACTGACTTTAGGTGCTTGTCCAGTGCCAGCTTGAAGACTGCCAGGGGTCTGTTGGTAATCCCCCTTATGTGTGCTGGGAGGCAGTTGAACAGTCTCGGGCCCCTGACACTTATTGTATGGTCTCTTAACGTGCTAGTGACACCCCTGCTTTTCATTGGGGGGATGGTGCATCGTCTGCCAAGTCTTTTGCTTTCGTAGTGGGTGATTTTCGTGTGCAAGTTCGGTACTAGTCCCTCTAGGATTTTCCAGGTGTATATAATCATGTATCTCTCCCTCCTGCGTTCCAGGGAATACAGGTTTAGGAACCTCAAGCGCTCCCAATAATTGAGGTGTTTTATCTCCGTTCACGGCGCGCATAACGGAGATAAAACACCTCAATTATTGGGAGCGCTTGAGGTTCCTAAACCTGTATTCCTGGAACGCAGGAGGGAGAGATACATGATTATATACACCTGGAAAATCCTAGAGGGACTAGTACCGAACTTGCACACGAAAATCACCCACTACGAAAGCAAAAGACTTGGCAGACGATGCACCATCCCCCCAATGAAAAGCAGGGGTGTCACTAGCACGTTAAGAGACCATACAATAAGTGTCAGGGGCCCGAGACTGTTCAACTGCCTCCCAGCACACATAAGGGGGATTACCAACAGACCCCTGGCAGTCTTCAAGCTGGCACTGGACAAGCACCTAAAGTCAGTTCCGGATCAGCCGGGCTGTGGCTCGTATGTTGGTTTGCGTGCAGCCAGCAGCAACAGCCTGGTTGATCAGGCTCTGATCCACCAGGAGGCCTGGTCTCAGACCGGGCCGCGGGGGCGTTGACCCCCGGAACTCTCTCCAGGTAAACTCCAGGTAAGATGCCACCCACACCAGTCCACTAACATCCAGGCACCTACTTACTTGCTAGGTGAACGGAACAGCAGGTGTTAGGAAACACGTCCAATGTTTCCACCCTTGCCGGGGATCGAACCACGGACAATGTGCGTGGCGAGAGCGTTGTCAACCAGGCCACGGAACACCGTAAGGTGTAGTATCCCCTGGATGGGGATAATCAATGGGCCGAAACAAAAAGAAAACACTTGCAAAGGCGTTATTTTTTCTGTTGTTACTTTTCATTACTTCTGGGTTGAAAATACAGCTTCTGATAAGATCTGTTATCTATGTAATCTCACAAGTATTTATGGTAGTGTGTTGAGACTAAGTGTTGGCAGAGTGACCCCAATTGATCACTGGCCCTGATTACATTTTTATTAGTCGTGCAAGGACCAAGATAGAAATAAGTCACTCTGACCTCTTTGGGTTATCCTGTGTAATTTACACTATGTATGATAACTGTACTTATGTGTACCTGTGCCTAAATAAACTTTCCTACACGATTTTGTGTCTTTAAGTGTTGTCTCAAGTGTATTTTTCCACCTTTTTTATTCTATTTCGCTTATAACTCAGATTCCGAGTTTTAACACTTGTGTACAGTAAAGATGACTAAACTAGTCTAAGAAGACCTAACTAACGTGTACACTTACAAGCAAAGAACAAACTTGACTTAAAGTGTTGATAATTGTGTTTCTGCACAATATATAATAAGTTCTATTATTTATATGCATGCTGTAGAAGGTGAGCAAAGTAACTGAACACAATAAATAACTATAATAACCGAGCACAGTTACTGTTACAATGTAACTTTCTTCAACAGGAGCGGCGGGGTGATAGCTTCGTCAATGTGTCGCTGGGCGACCCACAGCCCTCCAGGTATACCTCTCTTCCTCCTCCATCCCCTCCCTGGTACTGCAAGTATACACCAGTACATCAGTATGTCTGGGTTACTAGGTATACGTGAGTTACCAGGTATACCAGAGTTAATAGGTACACATTAATTATGTGTACACATAAACTCATGTGCGTCCCTGGGAGGGGGGGATGTGGTGTCCTGTACCGTAGTAGTAGTAGCAATAATAATAGTAGTAGAAGTATTAGTAGTTGTGGAAACTTATTCGGTCCTAAAAAGTTCCACAGGGCAGATACATCGTACGAAGATCCCAACATGTCACGGATGGAACGGCTGAGTTGGGTGGCCCTTACACCCACCCAAAACACACATACACCCGGGTTGGCAAAGGTGGTTGGAAGGTACATCTTAATTGATAGATTTACCCTTCAAGGAAGAGGTAGATAGTTTATACTGTTAGTGAACTAATATTAGGACTATTGAGGCAACTGTAGATAATAATAATGCAGACCTAAGACCTTAATGTAGGTAGTAATAGGCTGGTAATATAGGCAGACCCTAGGTAATGTTAGCTAGGGAGAACTGGCAGCCCAAGTTTGAACATCGAGGCCCTGGGGAAATCTGGTGGAGGCACCTCGAAGTACCGTAGATGACCTCCTCCATCCGGCCCATACAGTAAGACAAGACGTCCCTTTCTATCTCAGTATTCTGGCCAGTTTCTGGGGGAAATTGCGAGTGAGTTGAACTGTGGGTCTTTGAGCAGTCTGACGGCCAATGATTGGTACGTTCCGGCGTCTCCTCATTGTTAAGCTTAAAAGCTAGTGTCACTACCTGCATAGTTGTACTAGAGGATACTCACCCCCATGGAAACAGGAATTTCTGAGGTGCAGGCAGGTCACTAATACTGACTGAATATTGCAGGAATTAAGGCTCCCAGTTGCACGTGGTTCTGAGGAAAAGTCCAGAGGGGCTAAAGCTTAGGGAAGTTGAAGACCAGGATATATTCTCCAACACCAAGTAAGTTAGTCCTTTATTCGTGAATGCAGGCGAGATTTCTTGCAACATCAGTCATTTATGGAAATGTGTCATATAAGCCACTTGTGAGGCTGAGGTACTAGCCTCAGGGCTCGTTGTCAACAGAGCTTGCTAGGGTAGACAACTCACATGGAGGCAGTCCAGACAAATTTCCACAGTAGTAGAAGTAGTAGTAATATTAGTAGTAGTAATAATAGTAATGGAAAGTAACAGAAGTAGTAGTAGTAGTAATAATATTATTAGTAATAGTAATAATAGTAGAAGTATAGTAGTAGTAGTAATAATAGTCGTAATAGAAGTAGTAGTAGTAACAGAAGTGGCAATATTGGTGGTAGTAGTAGTAATAGTCAACAAGACAGAATATAGCAAAAAAGGAAACTAGAAAATGCAGTGATTGTATAGCATCTGTTCTGTATGTCTGTATTAAATACAGACATACATGACATGCGATACTATGTATCATGTGTATGTATCCTGCAGGCCTGGCCGGGTTAAGTCAGCAGGACGCTGGAAGGTCGTGGTTGGTGTGTGTGTGGTGGCTGTGGTCGCCTCTGCTGCCACACTGGCTATCTTCACCACAGGTCAGTAGTGCCTGGCACTCTCTGTAGTTTAACACTGCCAAGTACCTTAAATATATTGGTTTGCCTCTGTTTTACAGTGCTACATGCCTAAAATGTATTCATGTGTTTATTATTTGTTAGCACCGAGAATAAAACACCTTTTTGTGGTCATTATCAATGGTTATTTTTCATTCCCATTTCCATTTCATTCCCATTTGCCCAATATATTTTTGTTTGTCTTAATTTTGACAACACCGCACAGCAGCTTCTTTTAGGCCTCAGGAAAGCCTGTTATTAACTCACTCCACGCCGTTCCTTTAAGGCTTGAGGAAAGCCTGTTGTTAACTTAACGCCGTTCCTTCTAGGCCTCAGGAAAGCCTGTTGTTAACTCACTTAAAAACCACACAGCAGCTCCTTCTAGGCTTGCTGAAAGCCTGAAAATTCCCTTAATACCGCACAGCCGCTCCTTTTAGGCTGGAGAGAAGCCTGTTTTTTTAAGATAAGATAAAATAAAATTTCGTTCGGATTTTTAACCCCGGAGGGTTATCCACCCAGGATAACCCAAGAAAGTCAGTGCGTCATCGAGGACTGTCTAACTTATTTCCATTGGGGTCCTTAATCTTGTCCCCCAGGGTGCGACCCACACAAGTCGACTAACACCCAAGTACCTATTTGCTATTAGGTGAACAGGACAACAGGTGTAAGGAAACGTGTCGAAATGTTTCCACCCGCCGGGAATCGAACCCGGGCCCTCCGTGTGTGAAGCGGGAGCTTTAGCCACCAGGCCTGGTGTAAGGGGTGTAGGTGATTGGGAGTTTGCCCTTTCCTGGCAAAATGTTTCCCCGGACTCCGTGGAGGTAAAACAGCCACCACTCTTGGTCCATACTTGCGCCTTCCTGCGGGCCTCGGGGCGCATCGGTGATGTATATTACACATTCTCACAAGTGATGTTACAATAAAATACAATACAATTTTTTTAATTTTAAAATTACCCACCAGGTATACTGTATATACGAAAACATACAATAATATGAAGGCCAATGGGCCGCACAGCACTGAGATCATGTTTCTTCTATGGACACTGAAAATAAGTTTAATATTATGCACCTCATACCCATCCTGTGGGTGGTAGTCATAAGATTATAGAGGTACATAATGGGTCCAGGAACTGGACCCCAAAGTTTTTATAACTAAATAAGTTACAGTGGTAATGAACTATTTACAAGTTTATATATGGTTACAACCATAATGAGTTCTTTATGCAGACATGAATTAAGTCACAAAAATTTTAATGTAGCTCATGTGTGGTCTTGAATTATTTATAATGCCTTATATTTTAGTAAGGTATAGTTCAGTTCAAATAAATTTAAGTGGTTATGCCCTATTTACAATAGGCAAAGTCAAGGAATTTTTCCAGAATGGTAATATACCACTGTGGATAAAATGCTTTGACATTTTTTAATATTTCTGAATGAGCTGAATCTGAAAGTCAGGGCTCGATACGGTATAAGCTGTCAGCGGCCTTATAAACTCGATACGGTATAAGCTGTCAGCTGCCCTATAAACTCGATACGGTATAAGCTGTCAGCGGCCCTATAAACTCAAAGCAAGAATAAAAATAATTTATCTGGGCTTCAGCAGCGGCGTTTGTGGAGTGCAGACGTGTTAATAAATGATAAATTATATTTATTAACAATTTATTCGTAAAAAATAAACCCTCTATTTAACGGACTTCGAAAATATGGGACAATATCCGCTGGGTCAATAGATTTGGAAACAATGGATAGTCCTGTAGTGCAGAATTGTTCATTATTGTTACACTTATGAAAAAAAAATCTCTTTATCCACCACAATTGCCATTACTGGTTACCCGCCCCTCTCCTCCCCCCACTTAGTCTGTTAAACAGAGAGTTCACAGTAATGACATACTTTATAGAAGCCCCTGGTTATGCAGAACATCTCATTTCCTCAGGAAGTAAGATGCCTAGCTCTGCTGCTATTTAGACATAGACCTATCTGATATAAGTTGGGAATTAATATTTCTGGTCCTCTTTCCGGAAGAAGCTGTTTCTTTTCTCATTCTCGCCCAGATTTATCCAAATATTAAAAAAAAATTCCCGGACTCACGGGTGGAAAGGCTCAACAAAACGTCATCTTTGGTGGCCCTTAATAACCCCACCTCCAGCAACTATATTTATAGTTATTATTATCTTTTAAAATCATTTTACATATATGCATCTGTTCTTTTAATATCAGATTTAATTCATATATGTATCTATCAGTGGGTATGTTTGTTAGACTGGCCAGATGTTCCAGGTGGTGCTCCAGGCGGTGTTCCAGGTGGTGTTCCAGCACAGGAAGATGAAGGTCCACTCACATATCTTGGCAGGAGTCAGCTTGGAGCACCTGCAGCAGGAGAAGTTATTAATCCCCTTCGTCAGGTAGTATATACAAGTTCAAACTAGTCGTACAGTCCTACTTCAGGTAGATCAATACACGTCTACCTCAGGTAGATCAATACACGTCTACCTCAGGTAGATCATTACACGTCTACTTCAGGTAGATCAATACACGTCTACCCCAGGTAGATCATTACACATCTACCTCAGGTAGATCAATACATCTACCTCAAGTTGATCAATATACGTCTACCCCAGGTAGATCAATACACGTCTACCCCAGGTAGATCAATACACGTCTACCCCAGGTAGATCAATACACATCTACCTCAGGTAGATCAATACGTCTACCTCAAGTTGATCATTATACGTCTACCCCAGGTAGATCAATGCACGTCTACCTCAGGTAGATCATTACACGTCTACCTCAGGTAGATCAATACGTCTACCTCAAGTTGATCAATATACGTCTACTCCAGGTAGATCAATACACGTCTACCTCAGGTAGATCATTACACGTCTACCTCAGGTTGATCAATACACGTCTACCCCAGGTAGATCAATACACATCTACCTCAGGTAGATCAATACGTCTACCTCAAGTTGATCAATATATGTCTACCCCAGGTAGATCAATACACGTCTACCTCAGGTAGATCATTACACGTCTACTTCAGGTAGATCAATACACGTCTACCCCAGGTAGATCATTACACATCTACCTCAGGTAGATCAATACATCTACCTCAAGTTGATCAATATACGTCTACCCCAGGTAGATCAATACACGTCTACCCCAGGTAGATCAATACACGTCTACCCCAGGTAGATCAATACACATCTACCTCAGGTAGATCAATACGTCTACCTCAAAGTTGATCATTATACGTCTACCCCAGGTAGATCAATGCACGTCTACCTCAGGTAGATCATTACACGTCTACTTCAGGTAGATCAATACACGTCTACCCCAGGTAGATCAATACACATCTACCTCATGTAGATCAATACGTCTACCTCAAGTTGATCAATATACGTCTACCCCAGGTAGATCAATGCATGTCTACCTCAGGTAGATCACTACACGTCTACCCCAGGTAGATCAGTACACATCTACTTCGGGTAGATCAATACGTCTACCTCAAGTTGATCAATATACGTCTACCCCAGGTAGATCAATACACGTCTACCTCAGGTAGATCATTACACGTCTACTTCAGGTAGATCAATACACATCTACCCCAGGTAGATCAATACACATCTACCTCAGGTAGATCAATACGTCTACCTCAAGTTGATCAATATACGTCTACCCCAGGTAGATCAATACACGTCTACCTCAGGTAGATCAATACACGTCTACTTCAGGTAGATCAGTACAAAGGACCGCAATAGAGAGAAGTCACTGACCTTTTTTGGGGGTTATCCTAAGTAATTTAAACTCAGCATTGTAATCCTTATAGAGAATAAACTTTGAATTGAATTGAATTGAATATACTGCTATATATGATAATTTTTGTAACTGTACCTGGAGTTTACCTGGAGAGAGTTCCGGAGGTCAACGCCCCCGCGGCCCGGTCTGTGACCAGGCCTCCTGGTGGATCAGAGCCTGATCAACCAGGCTGTTGCTGCTGGCTGCACGCAAACCAACGTACGAGCCACAGCCCGGCTGGTCAGGAACCGACTTTAGGTGCTTGTCCAGTGCCAGTTTCAAGACTGCCAGGGGTCTGTTGGTAATCCCCCTTATGTATGCTGGGAGGCAGTTGAACAGTCTCGGGCCCCTGACACTTATTGTATGGTCTCTTAACGTGCTAGTGACACCCCTGCTTTTCATTGGGGGGATGTTGCATCGTCTGCCAAGTCTTTTGCTTTCATAGTGAGTGATTTTCATGTGCAAGTTCGGTACTAGTCCCTCTAGGATTTTCCAGGTGTATATAATCATGTATCTCTCCCGCCTGCGTTCCAGGGAATACAGTTTTAGGAACCTCAAGTGCTCCCAGTAATTGAGGGAGCGCTTGAGGTTCCTAAAACATACACATCTGCTTCAGGTAGATCAGTAAGTTTATTCAGTTACACAAATACAGTTACATAAATTGTCATACATATCAGCTTATGTGTAGGTTACCTTGGATTACCCTCAAAAAAAATTTGGACAAAGTGATTTATTTCCATTGGGGTTCTTGTAATATCTTATTTAAATCTTAACAGTTAAAAATGCTAAGTAACTCAACTATGTGAAAAGCATTTACAATAAAAAAGAGATATACTAGGAATAAGGTAAATTGAGTTATATACATTAATATTAAAGAGAGAATCAGCTCACAGTTATTACAAACACAGGTAAAGAATGGCTGTGAAACCTGGTTGTAATGGGAATGTGGAGCAAACAAAACTCAGCAGTAGACTAAAATGTATATTTGCCTTCACCAGATGATATATATACATGTACAAGTATATTCACTATGTACAGTATATTCACTATGTACAAGTATATTCACTATGTACAAGTATATTCACTATGTAAGCGTACAACACGGTGACAGATGGCAAAGCAGAAGCCAGAGAGTGTGTGCCGTGCTCAACCAGCAGGTAGGCAAGTCTGCCAGTCCTTACCACAAGTGAACCATGTTGCTTCAGCTTTGGTGGGCTTGCCTGTGATTGATCAGTGAACAAAGGTACTGATTTAATGACAGGTACATTATTGATCGTTTAACCCTTAGCACCTGGTTCACTGGTTGGGAGGCAGCCTATATGGGGGTGTGGCATACACCAAATAAAATGTAACATACTCTTTATGTGCCACATAGTAATAGGTACATGTATGTTACAGTAATGGGTACATGTATGTTACAGTAATGGCTACATGTATGTCACAGTAATAGGTGCATGTATGTTAACTATATAAGAAATCACCCACCTTCCTTTCTGTAGCTTCATTCATTAAGTACCTTATAGCTCTCCTTAACTGGCTCATAATATGATAAAATTTTGTACGGATTTTTAACCCTGTACAGTTAGCCACCCAAGATAACCCAAGAAAGTCAGTGCATCATGAAAGACTGTTTGTCTTATTTTCATTGTGGTCCTTCAGTCATGTCCCCCAGGATGCCACCCACACCAGTCAACTAACAACCAGGTACTTACTGCTGGGTGAAAAGTGACAACAGTCGTAAGGAAATATGCCCAATGTTTCCACTCTTGCCGGGGATTGAACCATGGACACTGTGTGAGGCGAAAGTGTTGTCTACCAGGCTACAGGACACTTAGATCAATGCACTCCTTCAGGTAGATCAGTACACTCCTTCAGGTAGATCAGTTCATTCCTTACATAGCACAGTATATACTGCTTCAGTTACTAAATGATCCACAAGCAACTAACCCCCTTGCCACTCTAGTCGAGAATACTGTATTTTAATCTTTGAAAAACAAACCAAAATAAATTCTCACGTACACTGAGAGATTCATACCTTTCAGCATATACTGTATGTGCTTGAGTATTCATTTTTTAATACAGTATGCAGGTCACTGTCTTGTACACTATGTGCTTAATTGTCCATGTATTGAGGAATACAGAGATAGACAGTATAATAACCTATGTGACATGTCATGATATCTTATTAATGAAAATAAGATACGAGATGTACTAAGCAAATTTCCCAAATTTGCTTGTAACAGATAAGCGAACTGTAGATATGTAGATATAAATCCAAATGTACACCTGTTAACCCTTTTGAGGCCTAGTTCCTAGGCTTTTTGTGTATCCATATGCCCTTGCACTACCATCCACAGGATGGATATGGGGTGCACAATAAACTAGCCACTTTAGTGGCAAAATCTAAATCTGTAGTTTAAATGTAATAAAATATTGCTAGGCACAAAAGAAAGCCACTAGCATTAATGCGATTCGAGCATACTGATTCAAAATTCAAAATTTTATTTCTTTGTGTGGTATGCAAACTGTAATTTACATGTAATAAAGTATTGTTCTGCACAAGGAAAGCCACTATCATACATGAGCATTCCTAGTACTTAATACTACAGTACTTAAGGACTAGATGCAGATTAAAGATAGTTTGATTGGGATGAATTATTTTTCACAGTTGAATCAACAGACACAGCAAGACAATGGAGAAACCACCCACACACTCAAGGCTAAAGAACACCAATTTGAGGAAGTAAGTCCCCAGCTCTTCATTGTCCAAGTATACTCTTCCGTTTGCTCTTAAGGGTAATTGCCAACAAACCTCTGGTAGTCTTCCAGAGGAAACAGGACAAGTTCCTCAAATCAGTAGAATGTTTTGCCTTACAAAATTTTTGTTATGCCTCCCATAGATGAAATAAAATCCATTAAACATTGTATACAATCAACTTAAAACTACTAAAGTTAGTACAGGTTGGAACTGCTTGAACCTCATGTTACAGTTGCATACCGATGAGCAACATGAGAGATAATGTTATACATAATTGTATAATAGTGGACAGTATTGGAAGTACATTATGTAATATGATTGTTATTGGATAATAGTGGCCAGTACTAAAGATCAGAGAAATTTTGACAGATTAAAATGAATTAAAGTCGTATACACTGTTATGAATACATGTATATTAAAAATTACACCAAAGTAGCATGAAAATTTTCAATAAAAGTCATAAACTTCTTCTGATAGTATGCACAATAGTGTACTTTACAGGTACATAATAACATACCTGAAAAGGGGCCTGATTAGTGCATAATATAACAGGTATGGGAGCCACTGGAGAAGACAGAGGCTCTATACATAGGCAGCCATAGATCACATGGTTTCAGCCTTCAGGACACCAGCCTACAGCACTCACCCAACCCTAACTTCCAGGAGGTAGGTCTTCCCCATGTATGTTTATTGATGTCATAATACCCTACCACTAAAAATGTATAATAATAATGTGACTGGAAGAATTTAGAACTTGCCAACATATTGAAAAATCCAAGACAAGTTTCTGGTGCATCTTAAATTCCCATTAATTTCTGATCTCCCTACACCCACTTTGTTCATTCATCAGGAGACAGTGCTCCTGGAGAAGGTTGAAGAGCATGACCGTCCTAAGAGGATCCACGTGAAGGATAAACATCAGGGGTTTGTGGAAGTAAGCATGCAGAAATTTATTATATCTTATGATTAATTTTGTTGGGTGTTTTCTCTCATGTCACTTCTTTCTCTGTTTACATCTTCTTTTTCTCTCTTCTTTCTTTTTGTTCTATTTTCCTCCCTTATTTTTAGCTAATTGATCTGCTCTTCTTATAAAACACTTGTAATAATTCCCTACCTCAGTTTAATAACTTGAAAAGCAAATATAATTGATATAATTTAGTATAAAAAGAAGGTGCACCTGAAGAGCATACATACAGGTGCTCTTTGGGGATATGTTCCGATGAACCCGTCGTATGTCAAATATGAATATAAATTACTTAATAAACCAGGAAATAAATAACTACTGTCGCTGAATAAGTAAATCAACAAATAATTACTGTAACTAACTTAATACCAGTATTAAAACGTAAATAAATGAATTCAAGTTACGGACTTGCTGCCTTCATGAAGCACCTGTATTTATCATTTTTATTCAGTCATTAATTATGGGCTTGTGATTAACTTTTGGTACTGAATATTAATACTTCCTTCCTGTTATCAGGAGACAGTAGAAGTTGAAGTGCCAAATGAACATGATGGCTCCAAACACCCTAAACTTGTAGTAAAACCTCCAGTGCCAAATAAGAAAATTCTAGACACGTCATCATCAGAGAAGAAGGTGAAGGATAAGATGGAGTCAACCCGGCTGCCAACTACTCGGCTTGCTAGTGGTCAACGAGTTTGTGAAACCCCGGAGTGTTCTACAGCTGGTGAGATTACAAAACTAATTCTTATGTAAAAATTCATTGCTACCCTATCAGGCCATTAACAGGGAGGTCTGATCTGGGATCAGATTGTGGAGGTGGTACTCCCGAGAACTTGGAGACAAAAACATAATGGTCAGTCAAGGGAGAGAGAGAGAGAGAGAGAACAAAATTTATGTTGGTAACAGATTTTTATACTGTACCATACGCATAACAAGAGAGAGAAACAAACATACCCTCAACTTTCATCCTCAAAGTGAGTCAAGGGATTGCCATCTCTACATCTTTTTGTCTTGTGGGACAATAATGTTCACTATGGTATAAACCTTGGTAATAAATACCGACAAGTTGGTTTAGAAAGACACGTAAGCAAACACTATAACATATTTATTAGAAAACGTTTTGGTCCTGGGACCTTGATCACTTCTAACATACAGAGGTAGAAAGACATTATATATAGGCAGAGAGTGAGGTGTGACGCACGTGACCTGAGGAATGTCATAAGAACATAAGAATGGAGGAACACTGTAGAAGGCCTACTGGCCCATGCGAGGCAGGTCCTTATTAAAACAACCTCTGCCTATGATGAGGATGGGTAGACGATGAAATCATGTGACTCCTGTGTTGTTGGGTTGGTGCTGCTTAAGTATCATGTATGCCAATGTTTTTGAAATTTTGTAGTTTCCAGTGTTGCGTTCTATAGTGTCGGTGACGGCGATTAGTGAGGCTTCTAGGCACCGTCGGCGTCTGAGGTCTGGTTCGGTGAGAACTAGTTGTGCCTCATTCCAGTTCATCAAATACCCCGTGGAGTCTCTGTGGAGGACACATGCGTACCTTACATCGTCTCTGTTAGAGGCATTTCGATGCTCATTCAGGCGGACTGCAAGATCTCTGCCTGTCTCGCCTACATATTTCTTGGGACAGAACCCACAGGGGATAGTGTAGACACCTGCTGTAGAAGTTAGAGGTGTGGGGCTGCGTTTCGTAGTGAGGTCTTTGATAGATGATGTGTTTATGGTGGAAACGTTGATGTTACTCATAGCAAGTGCCCTGCGAGTATTCGTGGCAACATCGCCACATGAGAGTACTATGAACTGTTTAGGGGGCTGTTCCATGGGCGGTTTGTTGAGGATAGCTTGTGCCTTGAGTCTGCAATCTCGGATGAAGAAAGATGGGAACTGAAGACTTGTAAAGGCTTGTGTTATGTAAGTGCATTCTTCTAGAAAACAAGGGCTGGAGATGCGAAGAGCTCTCATAAACACATCATCTATCAAAGACCTCACTACGAAACGCAGCCCCACACCTCTAACTTCTACAGCAGGTGTCTACACTATCCCCTGTGGGTTCTGTCCCAAGAAATATGTAGGCGAGACAGGCAGAGATTTTGCAGTCCGCCTGAATGAGCATCGAAATGCCTCTAACAGAGACGATGTAAGGTACGCATGTGTCCTCCACAGAGACTCCACGGGGCATTTGATGAACTGGAATGAGGCACAACTAGTTCTCACCGAACCAGACCTCAGACGCCGACGGTGCCTAGAAGCCTCACTAATCGCCGTCACCGACACTATAGAACGCAACACTGGAAACTACAAAATTTCAAAAACATTGGCATACATGATACTTAAGCAGCACCAACCCAACAACACAGGAGTCACATGATTTCATCGTCTACCTGTCCTCATCATAGGCAGAGGTTGTTTTAATAAGGACCTGCCTTGCATGGGCCAGTAGGCCTTCTACAGTGTTCCTTCATTCTTATGTTCTTATGACATTCCTCAGGTCACGTGCGTCACACCTCACTCTCCGCCTATATATAATGTCTTTCTACCTCTGTATGTTAGAAATGATCAAGGTCCCAGGACCGAAACATTTTCTAATAAATATGTTATAGTGTTTGCTTACGTGTCTTTCTAAACCAATGTTCACTATAAACCATATCTTTTAATATTGCTTTTAGGTTATTTTTGTGCTGCTAATTCTGTGTTTCACTGGTATTAATGGTAAGGCAGAGCTAGGCAACTAAAGAGTAGCACTGCACAGCATATTAAATAATATTGCATACTGTAGATTATAGGTAAATTTATTTAATATATATCTGTTGGAGTGTGGCAGGGTAATATTTTGTGAAGGGATTCAGGGAAACCCATTAGTCAGACTTGAGTCCTGGAGGTGGGAAGTATGATGCCTGCACTCTAAAGGAGGGCTCTGGGATATTTGCTGTTTAGAGTGACATCTAGACTGTTATATCTGCATGCCTCTGGCAGAATAGTGATAGTGTGAATGATGGTGAAAGTGTTTCTTTTTCAGGTCACCCTGCCTCAGAGGGAGACGGCCAGCATGTTAGAAGGAAAGAAATAATCTCATAATGTGAATACATATTTTGTAACATGATTAATCCTTAATCCTTTATAATAAGGTTCTGTGTTTCTTAATTTGTTCATGGTGAATGTTCATTGTACCGCCCCACAGCGACAAGAATCTTGGAGAGTCTAGACCTGTCAGTAAACCCTTGTGATAATTTCTACGAGTTTGCATGTGGCGGCTGGATCAATAAACATCCCATTCCTGAATCTGGCGAGTGAGTAACTGTTGATGTTGTCTTGCTGCTTATACTGCTACTGCAGTGAAACTTTGCTATAATGTGCTAATAAAAGGGAGGGAGTGTGTTTAAATGAAATGCCCAGTGCAACAGATATACGTATTCTGTTGCATGGAGAGCCTACTGAACATGCATACTAGTGCTGTTGGACAACACCTCAGTGCAGTAAAGTTGGTCTATTGCCTCAAACATTAGTCCAGCCAGATATTTTGTCCATTATATCCAAAACCTGTTACATAAGAGTCTGTAATCTCAAGGTTTTATTTATACTCTGTACTATTGTTTCTACCTATACTCTGTGCTACTGTTTCTTTCTGTACCCTGTACTACACCTGCTACTACATACCTATACTCTACTACTACTACTACTGCTGCTACTGCTACTGTTGCTTATGCTCTAATATTACTGTTGTTGCTGTTACTTATACTCTATTACTGCTGCTGCTACTCCCTATCCTCTACACTGCTGCTCCTACTGATTTTGAAAAATGTTAATTTTCCTTCCTGTAGGTCTTTAAGTAGTACCATTAATTAATGTTATCTCAGAACGGGCACCTTCGATGAAGCTGGAGATAAGTTAGACAAGCGCCTCCACCTAATCTTGGAGACACCAGCTGTGCCAAGTGACCCAGAGCCCATCCATATGATCCACACCTTCTACGACTCCTGTCTGGACACTGGTAAGTTGTGGGGGGATGTGTGGAAGGAGGCAGTTGAGGTAATTGGTGGACACTGAGTGTGTGGGGGACATGTGGAAGGAGGCAATTGAGATAATAGTGGACAGTGAATGGGGAGTGTTGATTTTTTTTTTTTTTTTTATTAACACACTGGCCGATTCCCACCAAGGCAGGGTGGCCTGAAAAAGAAAAACTTTCACCATCATTCACTCCATCACTGTCTTGCCAGAAGGGTGCTTTACACTACAGTTTTTAAACTGCAACATTAACACCCCTCCTTCAGAGTGCAGGCACCGTACTTCCCATCTCCAGGTCTCAAGTCCGGCCTGCCAGTTTCCCTGAACCCCTTCATAAATGTTACTTTGCTCACACTCCAACAGCACATCAAGTATTAAAAACCATTTGTCTCCATTCACTCCTATCAAACACGCTCACACATGCCCGCTGGAAGTCCAAGCCCCTCGCACACAAAACCTCCTTTACCCCCTCCCTTCAACCTTTCCTCGGCTGACCCCTACCCTGCCTTCCTTCCACTACAGACTGATACACTCTTGAAGTCATTCTGTTTCACTCCATTCTCTCTACATGTCCGAGCCACCTCAACAACCCTTCCTTAGCGCTCTGGACAACAGTTTTGGTATTCCCACACCTCCTCCTAACTTCCAAACTACGAATTCTCTGCATTATATTCACACCACACATTGCCCTCAGACATGACATCTCCACTGCCTCCAGCATTCTCCTTGCTGCAACATTCATCACCCTTGCTTCACACCCATATAAGAGCGTTGGTAAAACTATACTCTCATGCATTCCCCTCTTTGCCTCCAAGGACAAAGTTCTTTGTCTCCACAGACTCCTAAGTGCACCGCTCACCCTTTTCCCCTCATCAATTCTATGATTCACCTCATCTTTCATAGGCCCATCCGCTGACACGTCCACTCCCAAATATCTGAATACATTCACCTCCTCCATACTCTCTCCCTCCAATGTAATATCCAATCTTTCATCACCTAATCTTTTTGTTATCCTCATAACCTTACTCTTTCTTGTATTCACTTTTAATTTTCTTCTTTTGCATACCCTACCAGATTCATCCAACAACCTCTGCAACTTCTCTTCAGAATCTCCCAAGAGCACAGTGTCATCAGCAAAGAGCCATAAAAAGTAGCCATAAAAAATACTAAACCAATTAAAATCACAGTGCTTAAATTTTTGTAAATTAAGATATCTTCACTTTTTAAACTAAGGAATGAGGAATGTGCTGGGGAGGTAGTAGTCACCCAAGCACAATCCATGGAATTTTCCCATTTTGTAAAGATAATCAAGCTTTGAGAACAGTGAAGTAAATGAGAGCACCCAATAAGGTGATGAGAAAGAAAGGGTGACATGAAAGAATCTCAGGTATGAGTAGTAGGCTGAGTAAGAATGATACCAAATGAGAAAGACAAGTGAACATGGAAGATTTTTGCAAGGAGGGGATAGTAAACAGTACATAACAAAACATTAAATAACAGATGGATGAAGAGGGATTTAAAGATATAGGCAATGGGCCAGAACATGTATGAGGATGACAGAAGTGAGAAAAACTGCGGTACAGTAGAACCCCCGTATCCAAGGATTTGGTATCCATGGTTTCAATTAACCCATGGTTTGGCCCAAAAATAACCCTTAATTTTACTTAATAATCCCCAAAGTGCAAAAGTAGTGATTCTGGCAGTTCTTCAAAGCCTAAGAGAAGCCCTGAAATGCTTCTCATCAGTGAAAAATTGCTAAGTCTAGACTTATTTTGCATAATTTATCAATTAAACTTTATCATAGGTATATATGTAAACAAAATGACTTATATATAGGGTTCACTACTATCCACAGTTTCAGGTATCCATGGCAGGTTTTGGAATGTATCCCTCACAGATACAGAGGGATTACTGTATTTTAAAAGAAGCACAATTCTCACACAGACACATTGGACAGCTTGGGCCTGGCACCTCTTGACCCACTGTTGGCAGGACAGGGAGGCTGGCCCATGGTAGAGGACAGCTGGGACCCATCAACATTCACACTCTCCACTGCCCTCAATAACCTCAGGGATTTAAGCGTCTTCCCTCTTGTTGCCGTTGGTGTCGATCTTGATGTGGAGGATGTCCAAACCAAGATAATTTATGTGAGTTGTGTTGCTTGAGAGGATGTTCTCACCAGAATGTGAGCTGTGTTGCTTGAGAGAATGTTCTCAGTGGTATTACTTCAGTTCAGTTTTTCCTTAATTTACATTTCTGGTTGAATGTTACCCTCTTTGAAGGTACTGCACAAAACAAATTTCTTTATCTATTTTTTCATATCCTTATACATTGTTATCATATCTCCTCTTGGGTTGCATGATTGGATTATGTCCTCACCAGAATCATCCATATGAGTATGTTGCATGAGTGGAGTATGTCCTTACGAGAATCATCTATGTGAGTTGTGTTTCATGGGTTTGATATCCTGTATTCTTATATTATCTTCTGCCCAGTGTAATTATTTTGGTTTCTCCTGTTCATTGTATGGTTGTGATTTTCTTTTGAGTGTTATATAATTATCAGTTTATCTTTTATTTCTACCCTACCTAGATGTGTAACTTCCCAGTACCTCTCACTGTTTCTCCTCTTGGAGTTATCAACCTGCTTTACTACACTGATCTTGATATGAACAAACTAAATGTTATATTGCCACACTCAACCTGCCATCATTCAGTCCTCCTGTACCACCACCTCCATACTGTCCCTGTAATCATAGTGCAGTAATTGCTTTCTGTAAAAGAGCACAAAACAAGTTTTGGCACAGTAGATATACAGTATGTTAGTACATTATTTCTGTTTAATTTCCAACCCTTTTAAATAGATTAAATACTACGGTTCCAAAGTGTGTTAAGCACTTCACATAAAATATTGAACTCTACATAATTGTCTACAATGTTGCAGATTGACGCAGGTACTGTGCCACTGGGAGTTAGTATCATGGATGACCCAATCGAGGCAGTGGTGGGACCTTACAGCACCCTTATGACAGATGCTGCCAAGCTCTACCGGGATTACAAGAGCTCCTCTGTCACTGATGAGGATATCCAGAAACAAGTCCAGGATGTTATTGACTTTGAAATTGCATTCTCTAAGGTTTTTATTGTTAATCTTGTACAGTAGAGTTTATAAAAGGGGTTAAATCCCTAGCTTTTGCTATGTATGTGTAATTGTTTGCATGAGTTTGTGGAGAATAAACTCTGGCTTCTGAGCCCACCATTAACTTTCAGTAAACTGTATACTGTATGAAAATTTCTAGCAGTATGTATTCTCATGAGCAATGTAATTCTAACTATAGAATACCTTTACAGATAGTAATCAAGGCTGTAAATGAGACAACGGACCATAATTGGAGAACAAATCTCACTGGGGTGCAGACAGATACTGATGCTGGTACTCCAGGTCAGGTCAGTGCCACTGACACATCTCTTTAAAGGTCACCAGTGACCTTCACTTAATGCTAACATACTTCCTTAATGTCACTATATGTCTCAGTGGCACCATTCTTCCCTTTAATAATAATAATAATAATAGATAGCGATTATGTGCGAATGATGGTGAAAGGGTTTCTTTTTTTGGGTCATGCTGCCTCGGTGGGAAACGACCGGCGTGTTGAAAAAAAATAATAATAATATTGTAGTTCAAAGGGCTGTTTGAATTGTAATGTCACTGCATTTCTGGCAAGAGAGTTAAGAGAATGAAGACAGCTTAAGAATAAGTGATGGTGAATGTATTTCCTCTCTTGTATAATCCCAACTTGATGGAAAATGGCCACTGTGTTAAAAATAATAAAAATACAGTAATAAATTATTCCTAAAACTGCTAGTCCCCAAGAGAAAGATAAATCAGTATTGTAATTGGTATTTGTTATACAGTTTGAGTGGTTGGCCTTCCTCAAGGAGATGTTTACTGACACAGGAATCACCATCACCTCTGAGGAACCTGTCATCTCCTTCAAGGGACCTTTTTTCACTGACTTAAGTAACCTTCTCGCAGCTACTGACACCAAGACTCTTGGTAAGATTCTTTGAGTTGTGCTAACACTTTTTCACTTTTTTTTTTCTCTTCAATTTTTTTTTCTTTTTGGCCCAAATATTTTTCTTCGTTTAAACCTCTGTAAATTTATGAGGTTTTTATTAATTTGTAATTTTACAGAGTTAAAACTGAATGTAACTGTATTTTTATGTTTTTTACAATCATTGAATCTTTTTTTGTTTTTGACATAACAATATACCAGTATATTTAAAAGATTGCATGATATTACATTATAGTATTAACAGTACTGTTCTAGTAGTAATATCATTATTATTACGATTTATATTTTACACAGCTAGACAAAGTGTTGTTTGCCACACATGACAATACCATTAACAAGAAACTTACAGGTACTGGACAAAACTTATAAGCATAGTATTATACTTCAGTCCCTCCAGAAATTATGTACAGGACATATTGGAATTAGTTTTATGGAGAGTTTCCTCAGACTTTTTTGTGATTAGAATGTGTGCGTGTGGCTTACATTTTGTGGCTAAACATCCATGTAACAGACTACAGTGCTGTACTCTCTGTATGATTCACACAGTTTTGTATGGAAAATAGCTGAGCCCAGTCTCAAATAACATTCATTTTCTAGCACATTGCATTTTGTATATAGTATTATGATAAGTACATCTTTCTTGATGTATATGCTCTGCAAACAGTTTTAAAATGGTTTGGCAGTTGGGATTGATGAAATGAAGATGTTCGTTTCGTGGCATATTTTACTAAGCTCTGTGAGTCACTTTGGAAGAATGTACACTTGGAGGGGTGTATATATCTCAGTATATATATACAGTTCCTAGGTAGTAGGTTGGTAGACAGCAACCGCCCAGGGAGGTACTACCGTCCTGCCAAGTGAGTGTAAAATGAAAGCTTGTAATTGTTTTACATGATGGTAGGATTGCTGGTGTCCCTTTTTCTGTCTCATGTACATGCAAGATTTCAGGTACGTCTTGCTACTTCTACTTACACTTAGGTCACACTACACATACATGTACAAGTATATATATGCACACCCCTCTGGGTTTTCTTCTATTTTCTTTCTAGTTCTTATTCTTGTTTATTTCCTCGTATCTCCATGAGGAAGTGGAACAGAATTCTTCCTTTTTAGGCCATGCGTGTTGTAAGAGGTGACTAAAATGCCGGGAGCAAGGGGCTAGTAACCTCTTCTCCTGTATATATTACTAAATGTAAAAGGAGAAACTTTTGCTTTTCCTTTTGGGCCACCCCGCCTCGGTGGGATATGGCCGGTGTGTTGAAAGAAAGAAAGATATATACAGTTAGCTTGCATTTATCCCTATAGGCCCATATTTGAAATTATTTTTGATTGATGATGAACAGGTACATGATGAGTCCTTTGTGCATTTGATAGGCTTTAAACCCAATTGACCAGGCAGATCACAGCCAGTGCCTCTCTCTATGCTCTCATCTACACCAGTCTCCTCTGTTAGCATGCAAAAATAATTTTAGAGCAAGGTATTAACATGTTCCAACATATTAACTACATTACTGTTTTACTCTCCTGCTGTCTGTTGTTACATTAACATCATCCCTCCTTGGGTACAGTTAAGTGAATTTAGGTACATTTAATATAGACCGAATTAGCTCATTAAAAAGTATATTGAATGCTGTAAGCTTTGATAAGGTAAGCTACATTGGCTAAGCCATTATATTTTTTGTTCTGATGCTTAAACATGTCTTTGCCTGGACACAGCTAATGCTGTTGGCTGGTGGTGGCTGTACGAACTTCAATTGGAGACTACTTATGCCATGAGGAACATCTCTCTGCAATTCTCCCATGCCCTCTCTGGGCAGCAGGAGTTGCCACCACGCTGGCAGCACTGTATGGACCAGGTCAACTACAACCTGGGATTTGCACTCTCTAGGGAGTATGTTGATCAGTTCATGGCCGACACAGTCAAGCCAGAGGTAAGGCTCATTATTATTATATCCCTTTCCCATGAATTTTTTTTTTAAGACAGTCATCTCCCACCAGGATAGGGTGACACAAAAAAAGAAGAAACACTTTCACCACCAATCACAGTGATGGAGTGATTGGTGAACTTTTTTTTTTTTTCCTTTTTTCAGGTCATCCTACCTCAGTGGGAGACAGCCGGTGTGCTAAGAAAAATGAATGAGAAAGTGTAGGTGCCTCATTTTACTTGGATCATGAGCTTTTCACTATTATCAGAGCACCCCCTTTGAAGGGATAAGCCTGTTTTATACACATGCATACATGTAAAAGTGCATTATTAATTTTATATTCATGGGGATGTGTTAAAACAGTAGGAGTCACACATCACCCTGGAAATGGCAAGTAATCAGATTTGATCCAAGGAATAGGAAGATATTCTCATTTCCTTGGATCAAGAGTTCTTTACCAATTTGCAAGGAGTAAAAAGTGCTATTTGCTATCCCCAAAGCCACCTCTCTCTCTTCCTCAGGCCACAGAGCTGGTGGAGGACATAAGGTCAGCATACGCATCTCTCCTGGATGAGAACACCTGGATGCTGCCTGAGGATTTGGTGGTGGCAAAGGAGAAGCTAGAAGCCATTGACCCCTTTGTCTCCTACCCTGACTGGATCATGGATGATGCTCAGCTCACGCTAGCCTATGAGGATGTAAGTTAATAAAAGAGAATAATGTTATGAGCTCATGGATAATAGTGCAGCTGCTCACTCTGCTTATGACTACCTACCTACCTACCTTCAGTATATGTTAAGCTGTACGATTTACAAAGCACTGGAACAGTTGGGTATGCAGTACTTTTAACATAAATTATATAATATTGTATGAGTAATTTATGAGAATGCTATTTGGTTAAGACATTAAGTAATTTGAAGTATTATTGTTATTACAATCAGAACAATATATTGTTATTACAATCAGAACTCAGTGATAAACCCACAATTTGAAGTATTAATTATTATTATGACTTTAATGGGGAAAGCACTTAACCCACTGGGGTTAAATAGTATCTTGGGAATGGGAGGCAAGTGGATAAAATCCAAGGAAAGAAAGGGTAGCTCCAGTTCTTAGACTCAAGAGCCCTTCACTAAAATCAAGGGTACATGTCATTAAGGTGTCTTAATGTCCTAATATATAGAAGGAACTGTCAAAATGATACCGATTTGCAACTTTTTATTTTTATTAAGGTCTTTCAACATTACATGACTTATTTTTATTATGAGATACAGTGCAGGAGACACTGGTTAGCCAGACTTGAGTCCTGGAGGAGTGTAGTACAGTGTCTGCACTCTGGAGGGGTGGGGGTATTGCAGTTTGGAGGAGAATCTGAACTGTAATGTGAGTGCACCTATGGGAAGATGGTGATAAAGTGAATGGATGGCGAAAATGTTTCTTCTTTTCTGGATCACCCAACCTCGGTGCCTCAGTGAGAGATGGCTAGTGTATTAAAAAAAATAGTGCTTCTGAAATAATTGAATTTTTCTGGGGTTATTTCTGGTTATGGGTTGAGAATTTCAGCTTCCTCAGTCCTCACCGTAATAAGACCCTAAGTAGCTCTGTATGACCCTTGTGAGTTCAGTGCTTAGTTCTGATTGTAATAATAAGAACATGAGTGATAAGACAGCATACCCAGGCTTTGTTCCCACCATATAACCCGTACAGAATAGGGTAGCCATCCACTAGACGTATACCAAATCAAGTTAAATATACGCATTATACTCTAATGTATATAGATTGCAAGTTACAGTCGTTACCATCTCTCTTCCAATAGCCTGGCTGATGAGGGACTGGGACATACACTTCATGAAGTACAATCTGCAAGCTTCATTTCTTTGCTTACACCCATCACAGTTTTCTTTTTATTGTTGCATGCTAAGCACCTATGTAATCACAACCTGTTAAATGTACTTAATTTACTTTTCTGCTTAGTAATCTTTTTTTGGTGCCTATTTCCAGCTGGAGATTGTCAACGAAAAGCATGTTGAGAATCTGATAAACATTGGAGCATGGTATGACTTACATTCCCTGGCATCACTACGGGAGGAGCCAGAACACTCGTAAGTACCATTGGTCTTACCATTGGTCTCAAGCAAAAAAAAAATGTGTATAATGTAAATACAGTGGACCCCCGCATGACGATTACCTCCGAATGCGACCAATTATGTAAGTGTATTTATGTAAGTGCGTTTGTACGTGTATGTTTGGGGGTCTGAAATGGACTAATCTACTTCACAATATTCCTTATGAGAATAAATTCGGTCAGTACTGGCACCTGAACATACTTCTGGAGTGAAAAAATATCGTTAACCGGGGGTCCACTGTATAACATATTTGTTCATCCTCCTTTTAACATTTTTGAAGCTACTGACATGAATTTATTGTATTATGACTCAAAAGGATTTACATAAAACTGTTGTATCAGATGCAGTAACATTATTTATTGATGATTGCCTTCTTCCTCTTATGCCAGGTTCCTCTTTCCCCAACGGTGGTTAATGCATTCTATAACCCGCAGGAAAATACTATCAGTTAGTACACTTAGTTATCATTAGCTTTTGCATTCATGAATAATTGATATAAGTTATTACTGTCACAAAAGTTATCAAAAAACAAAGAGTAATTATATTGTATATGGCTCACTGTCTCATCTTAATATTATTTCTTTTGTAGCTATCCTAGCTGGAATCCTGCAGTCTCCGTTCTACTCTCATAATTCTCTCTCTGCACTCAACTATGGAGGCATCGGAATGGTTATTGGACATGAAATGACACATGGTTTTGATAACACAGGTCAGCCAAACAGGGTTCTATACAGTATTTCAACTCCCCTTTCTAGCCCAAACTGTACAGTATTTCTTTTGAATCATAATACTATTACTGTACTTACTTGTAAATAAGCTAATGCAAATTGCAAAATGGGTGGGCCTCAATCCCATGGCTTAACCACTGATCCTTGCCAGTCTAACAAGATTCATCCAACCAAGTATATTTCTGTGTACCCTACTGATTTTTACAAACCCCACACCATCATGGCTTTGATATGCACTAGCTCAAGTCCCCTCAAAGTCATCATCACAACTTACAAACTCATAATAACATTGCAAACAAATCACAGCAAACATGTTATTACGATTTTGAGAGTCTAAACTAATGAAAAGATCATGCGTTTTGTTTCTTCAGGTCGACAATTTGACAAATATGGAAACTTAAGACAGTGGTGGAGCAATACTACCATCCAAGCTTACAATACACGTGCACAGTGCTTTATTGATCAGTATGATGCCTATGTACCTCCTGAGCTGTCCACAGTTGGATTAAATATATCAGTATGTTTTATGTGTATGTGTTTTTGTAGGGAATGAGCTCCATTTGCATATTATATATACTATAATTTTTATATGTTTGCCTGCAAATGTGTTGATACTGTAGTCCTCAATTTGGCCTTTCTTTTCATGATCCAAAAGCATCTCATTTGCACAGTACAATTCTCGTTTTCACAGATTAATGGACATCAGACGGAAGGCGAGAACATAGCGGACAATGGCGGGATACGTGAAGCATTCAGAGCCTACCAGTTGTATGTGGAGCGCTATGGGGAGGAGCCTCGTCTTCCAGGCCTTGATGAATTTGACCCAAACCATCTTTTTTATCTTGGCTTTGCTAATGTGAGTGACATTTGGTGTGATTGTAGGTGATGATTATTTTATCATTTAAAAAAGGCAAGGGAAAACATACAGTATAAGTAATGTAAATTATTATAATTGAGGGGGAAGCGCTAAACCTGTAGGATTATACAGCACCTGTGGGGGGGGGATGGAAGGTATTCAGGCTTAATTCAGGGAACTGGAGCACAGATCCAGTTCCCTAGATCAAGAGCCCCTCACTGGTATCAAGAAACCTTCCTTGAGGGGTATAAGTAATGTGAAATATTAGACCAGCAAGAATAGTACAAGTTGTGACATTGCAAATTTTAGAGAAATGGTGTATATTATTATTATAATCAAGGGGGAAGCGCTAAACCCGGAGGATTATACAGCGCCTCGGGGGGGATGTGGAAGGCATTCAGGCTTAATTCGGGTAACTGGAGCACAGATCCAATTCCCTAAATCAAGAGCCCCTCACCAATATCAAGGAACCTTCCTTGAGGGGAAATGGTGTATAAGTGGGAGTTTACTAGGTAAGTAGTACCTCAATGTTTCTTTGAAACCATTCAGTGTATCATTTAATACATACAGTGTATGATTTGGCCCACATATTATGATCAAAAAAGAAGCGCTAAACCTACAAGGGTCATACAGCACAGCAGGGCAGGGAGATCCTTGTATAAAACCTCATCAGTGCATTCCCTTGCCTACTTCCAACTCCATGTAATAGGGAGAGAAATAAATAGCATTCACCAAGGCTTCAGTAACTCTTTATTAATTGACAACATTTTTCAGGTGTGGTGTGAGCATAAGACAGCTGAGGTGGTACTGATGCAGCTATATGGTGATGCACATTCCCCAGGCAGGTTCCGTGTCCTTGGTCCCCTCTCTAATGATGAACAATTCAGCCAGGTGTGGGGATGCCCAGCAGGCTCTGCCATGAACCGTGGGGACAACCGCTGTCTCCTCTGGTAGTAACACTGCCTGCTGCTACTCATGCTTGATATTTTTTTTATCTAAAGTATTGATTTACATGCACAACACTTAGGTACAGTATATTTATGGTTGAAACATTTCAACTGCACAGCAGGCTTCTTCAGTTAAATACAGATTATAATATTGGAGACAGTAAGTAGAGAGGTAATTTTGAGGTGATCAGACTGAGACATTCATCACTTCAAAATTACCTCTCCACTTCTACCATCTTTTGTGTTTTAACAATCTGTAACTGAAGCTGCCTGCTGCTCGGGAAAAACATCTTGAAAATAAAGATGCTAAAGTGTATTATTATTATAATCAAAAAGAAGCGCTAAGCCACAAGGGCTATACAGCGTGCTAAAGTGTAGCTCATGTCTTGTTTAACTTGTCACTACTGCATATCATTTTTGAGCCAGTACATACAATAATATAAACATCTTGGTATTAATAAAAATCAAACCACATGCTCATAGTAATTCACTATAAATTCATTTCAGTTCAAAATCACTATTTTTAATACATAGTAGGTGGTGACTGAGTGACCATAATGTAAGTATGAATTAGTACACCACTATTAAATTTTTATCATAATGGAAGTAAAAGTTAATGCAATTTTGTCAGCTGCACCTATCAGTAGTTACTCACATGGGTTTAATGCTCTCTTGTGAATGCAGTTGCCGTCCCTTGTCAAATCCCCCAAAATAATAATAAGCACAAATAGAATTAATTTGTGGTTTCAGGTTAGTGTGGCCTTGCTGCATTATTTTTATTAAAGGAACTAAACACTGACTTGCTTAAAGAACTTATAAATCAACATGTCAAACACAATGTTCAAATTCTAGAGGTACTAAGAGCCTAGGAACAAATTATTATTAATCTGCAGTATCATATTTATTCTAATTTACCATGTATAGTGTTAACCAATAAATTATATTATTATATTAAAAACAAGAGCTAAACTAATCCATTATACAGTGCTGTAATTCAATGCTGTGTATTATTACTGTACTTCTAGCCTCATTTTGAGTCTATACATTAAGAGGAAACAGCTTTACACAAGTAAGAAAAGCATCATGTCCCTATGATATTTATCTAAACCAATTCTAATCAAAGGACTAAATATAGTAGATTCCACACCATGTTGTGTTTCTGAAAATTGTTCAAAAGTTGACTTTTCAGAAATGAACCAATTACCCCAGATGCTGTTATAATCAGATACACATTCCTGAAACAGTGTTCCACATCAATTTTCATTAATTTTCTATGAATATATAGCAACTACTTTACATTCAGTATATATTTTTTCCACTTACAAGTAATAATATTAAGCATTAACTTATATACACAGGTATAACCCTGCCTTAGCGGGAGACAGCCATTAAGTAAAAATATAATATGTAAAGTAAAACAGATGTGTGGGGATGGGCAGCAGCTAGACTGTCCCCCTCCTTCACACACTGTAACTAACAATGTACTCTTTATATAAATTCACTTCCTCACTGTTGTGGCACAGGAGAAATGTAAAGTAAAAGGACACAAGTGCAACTAATGTGACATTTTTGTTGTGGCAACGTTTTGCTCTCCAGGAGCTTTATCAAGCCGTTACAGCTTGATAAAGCTCCTGGAGAGCAAAACGTTGCCACAATAAAAATGTCACTTTAGTTGCACTTGCGTCCTTTTACTTTACATATTGTTGGTAATTCTACCAACATTATTACACAGGACAAATGGACTAAAAGGTGTGTAAACTATTACCTTCTTACTTGAGAAGTCCTAATTCTATCAAATTAACAATGTGTCCACTACCAACTGTTGAGCCTTGAGGATTCCTAAATACTATCTGACAGCAAATAATTGAGTTAAAAACAAAAATGCTTACAAATGATGTTACACAGCAATTCAAATATGTACTGCACACAGTATTTTAAATGCTGACCTTATTAAGACAGGAGTGAGTGGAGGCAAATGTTTCTTGGGACTTGACAAGCTACTAGTGTGAGCAAGATAACATTTTGTGAAGGGATTCAGGGAAACCGGACTAGAGTCCTGGAGGTGGAAAGTATAGTGCCTGCACTCTGAAAGAAGGATAGGGATATTTGCAGTTTGGAGGGGCACCTGAACTGTAGTGTCGCTACGAGACTGGCATGACAGTGATAGTGTGAATGATGGTAAGTGTTTCTATTTCAGGTCACCGTACCTCGGTGGAATACGTCCAGCATTAAAATATACATGTATATATAATGCTTAATATTTTATGCACACTAACAATGGCCAAGAAATTTCTGTACACAACAACCCTTCCTCAGCCCTCTGGATTACAAAAACTGTTGTCCAGAGGGCTGAGGAAGGGTTGTTGAGGTGGTTCGGACATGTAGAGAGAATGGAGCGAAACAGAATGACTTCAAGAGTGTATCAGTCTGTAGTGGAAGGAAGACGGGGTAGGGGTCGGCCTAGGAAAGGTTGGAGAGAGGGGGTAAAGGAGGTTTTGTGTGCGAGGGGCTTGGACTTCCAGCAGGCATGCGTGAGCGTGTTTGATAGGAGTGAATGGAGACAAATGGTTTTTAATACTTGACGTGCTGTTGGAGTGTGAGCAAAGTAACATTTATGAAGGGGTTCAGGGAAACCGGCAGGCCGGACTTGAGTCCTGGAGATGGGAAGTACAGTGCCTGCACTCTGAAGGAGGGGTATTAATGTTGCAGTTTAAAAACTGTAGTGTAAAGCACCCTTCTGGCAAGACAGTGATGGAGTGAATGATGGTGAAAGTTTTTCTTTTTCGGGCCACCCTGCCTTGGTGGGAATCGGCCAGTGTGATAATAATAAAAAAATACTATTTCCCACTTTCTTCTATGTTGTTGGAACAATGAGCTCTACAATAATAAAAGAATCTAGCATAGATACCAGTGACATACTGCTGACAATAGTAAAGAAAAAGACATTGTACAACTAGCTGTTATTGGGACTTTCACTCTGATAGAGCTTTATCAAGTCAATGATGTGAGCTCTTCACAGCAGAACATTGCCCTGGTAAAATCTCATTTTAAAACATCTTTTCTCCAGAATTTTTGCATCTTCAACCAGAATAAAATCCTTGGAACATGTTTTCTTGTGCAACAGTACCAGTCCACTCTCTGTCTTGTGCACATGTTGAAGGTGTCACACCAGGTCAAAAAAAAAAAAAAAAAAAAAAATCCTTTGATGGAATCTTCACCCTAACTTATCACACTGCCTATGACCATGCTAAATTTGAGGTGCATCTGGCATTCTCTCTATGATGAACCTGGAAAGTAAATCACAGTATAATGTATGTGGAAAATTAAATACATGATGCCAATTAAACATCAAACTTATTAACCTATTTAACACAGAAATGCACTAAAGTATTGTACAGTAAAAGGAAAATTACCTTAAATGCATTATCAATTAAATTTTACACTAACATGGCAACCACTTCTCTGTGTTAAGCCAGATCTCACATAAATTATAAATAACATTGCAAAACAGTCTATATGAGAAGTATTTATGAATAAAAGTAGTATTTTAGAAAAGGCTTATTTCCAGCAAGATATTTCTAAGAGAATTCATTAATGAATTATTACATGGAATCTTATCATTAGTTCCCTTCTGACACAAAATACATATTAATGGGAAATAATTACAATTAATTCAGTGACAGTTGAATAAATTATTGTACAGTATATAAAATTTATTAATAAAATAAAATAGGTTGGGCAGTGATAGAACTATACTTCTTTATCAATGAACATTATCTAGATTTAAATTCCCAGACATCAGGTTGGGAAGTGATGTACTGCTGTTAGGTTATTCATTATGACATTTGAATTCATGCGAATCTAACCTCTCAATTTCCAACACATCAATAACAGAGTTCAGCAGTGGAGAGATAAGAGCATGTCAAAGTTTGAATTATAATTATTATAATCATGGGGGAGCACTAAACTCAAAAGGATTATACAGTGCATGTGGAGGAGGGGGGGATGGAAGGTATTCAGACTCGATTCAGGGAACTGGAGCACAGATCCAGTTCCCTAGATCAAGAGCCCCTCACAAGCATCAAGGAACCTCCCTTGAGGGGTCAAAGTTTGAAACAAAAGTTACATGATCCTCTTAACAATATATGTATTGATATATTCTAGGTAGTAGGTTGGTAGACAGCAACTGCCTGTAACTGTTTTACGTGGTGATAGGATTGCTGGTGTCTTTTGTCTGTCTCATAAATATACAAGATTACAGGTACGTCTTGCTACTTCTACTTACACTTAGGTCACACTACACATACATGTACAAGCATATATATACACACACACACCCCTCTGGGTTTTCTGCTATTTTCTTTCTAGTTCTTGTTTATTTCCTCTTATCTCCATGGGGAAGTGGAACAGAATTCTTCCTCCATAAGCCATGCATGTTGTAAGAGGCGACTAAAATGCCGGGAGCAAGGGGCTAGTAACCACTTCTCCTGTATAAATTACTAAATTTAAAAAGAGAAACTTTGGTTTTTCTTTTTGGGCCACCCTGCCTTGGTGGGATACGGCCGGTTTGTTGAAAGAAGAAGTATTGATATATTCTGGCATAGTATATACAGTACTGTATATGCAAAAAACCAATGGAAAAAAACAGAGAACTTCTAAGTGCTTTTGTGATTTCTCACATTATCAAGGGTTCCTTGATAACATAAGAAAATAAGAAAGGAGCACTGCAACAGGCCAATTCTCCTAACAGCTGAAGCTCACTGACTGTCTGATCTCACTGACCTAGTGAGGTCAGACACATCACTTAAAGCATCCGACCTAGTAGCACAAGCTAGTTAGGTCCAACTCACACCCACTCATGTATTTATTCAATCTAGTTTTAAAACTACACATCTTAGCTTCTATGACGGTACTCAGGAGTTTGTTCCACTCATCCACAATTCTATTACCAAACCAGTGCTTTCCTATATTATTCCTAAATCTGAATTTTTCCAATTTAAAACCATCTTTTTTTTTTCATTTTTTTTTTAACAAGTTCGCCGTCTCCCAACGAGGCAGGATGACCCAAAAAGAAAGAAAATCCCCAAAAAGTACTTTCATCATCATTCAACACTTTCACCTCACTCATACATAATCACTGTTTTTGCAGAGGTGCCCAGAAAACAACAGTTTAGAAGCATATATGTATAAAGATACACAACATATCCCTCCAAACTGCCAATATCCCAAACCCCTCCTTTAAAGTGCAGGCACTGTACTTTCCATTTCCAGTATTCAAGTCCAGCTATATAAAAATAACTGGTTTCCCTGAATCCTTTCACTAAATATTACCCTGCTTACACTCGAACAGCTCATCAGGTCCCCATTCCTAACCATTCCTAACACGCTCACGCATGCTTGCTGGAAGTCCAAGCCCCTCGCCCATAAAAACCTCCTTTACCCTCTCCCTCCAACCTTTTTGAGGATGACCCCCTACCCTACCTTCCTTCCCCTACAGATTCATACACTCTCCATGTCATTCTACTTTGATCCAGTCTCTCTAAATGACCAAACCACCTCAACAACCCCTCTTCAGCCCTCTGACTAATACTTTTATTAACTCCACAGCTCCTCCTAATTTCCACATTCCAAATTCTCTGCATAATAGTTACACCACACACTGCCCTTAGACAGGACATCTCCACCGCCTCCTCGCTGCAGCATATACAACCCAAGCTTCACACCCATATAAGAGTGTTGGTACCACTATACTTTCATAGATTCCCTTTTTTGCCTCCATAGATAATGTTTTTTTGTTTCCACGTACAGGTCTCCCTCAACATTCACGAGGGTTAGGGGATCAAGAGCCTCATGAATGTTGAAAACCCGTGAATGTTTGGTGCCCCAATATATTGTAGGGAAATATAATACAATACTGCTTCCTTAACTTGTTGAACCATGAACAATCATAAAATACATGAAAACGTCATAAATTGTACTAAATACATACGTTATGCCTTAACAACATGTATGTTATTAAATACCACTGCCTCCACCACTGCAAGTCCCTACTACCCTCCCTCTGACCCCCACAACTGGCAGCCAGCCCTCCCACCACTGTGTGGTGAGTGTTTTGTTTGTTCATTATTTGCTATTAAACTACAGTATAAATAATGTCAACCCATTTATGACTGCATATTGGAATGGCTATTCGGACAGGTATTGGAAGGTGACATCATGTGTTTACTCTTGAACACAGCAAAGAATCAAACATTTGTGCTACTGCTAATAATACTAATAATAATAATAATAATATAATAAAAATAATAATAATATAATAAAAATAATAATATAATAAAAATAATAATAATATAATAAAAATAATAATATAATAAAAATAATAATAATAATAATAATAATAAATACGATAGAATTGAGGAAGGAAATTGTACAAAAATACGAGGGCTGAAGCAGTGGTGGAGGAAGTGGTTGACGCAGCGTCAGTGTAGCTTTGTTTATGCTGGAGTGAGTATTAGTCTCCGTGCTCTTCCAAACATTTCACAATAATTCATTGTATTTGGTGTTTGTAGATTGAGTGTGACTGGAGTGGGTGAGGCAGTGGTAGAGGCAGTGATAGAGGCAGTGGTATTTACTAACATTTTTTTTTTTTTCAACAAGTCGGCCGTCTCCCACCGAGGCAGGGTGACCCAAAAAAGAAAGAAAATCCCCAAAAAGAAAATACAGTGGACCCCTGGTTAACGATATTTTTTCATTCCAAAAGTATGTTCAGGTGCCAGTACTGACCGAATTTGTTCCCATAAGGAATATAGTGAAGTAGATTAGTCCATTTCAGACCCCCAAACATACACGTACAAACGCACTTACATAAATACACTTACATAATTGGTCTCATTGGGAGGTGATCATTAAGCGGGGGTCCACTGTACTTTCATCATCATTCAACACTTTCACCACACTTACACATTATCACTGTTTTTGCAGAGGTGCTCAGAATACAACAGCTTAGAAGCATATACATATAAAGATACACAACATATCCCTCCAAACTGCCAATATCCCAAACCCCTCCTTTAAAGTGCAGGCATTGTACTTCCCATTTCCAGGACTCAAGTCCGACTATATGAAAATAACCGGTTTCCCTGAATCCCTTCACTAAATATTACCCTGCTCACACTCCAACAGATCGTCAGGTCCCAAGTATCATTCATCTCCATTCACTCCTATCTAACACGCTCATGCACGCTTGCTGGAAGTCCAAGCCCCTCGCCCCCAAAACCTCCTTTACCCCCTCTTTCCAACCCTTTCGAGGATGACCCCTACCCCTCCTTCCTTCCCCTATAGATTTATATGCTTTCCATGTCATTCTACTTTGATCCATTCTCTCTAAATGACCAAACCACCTCAACAACCCCTCTTCTGCCCTCTGACTAATGCTTTTATTAACTCCACACCTTCTCCTAATTTCCACATAATATTTACACCACACATTGCCCTTAGACAGGACATCTCCACTGCCTCCAACCGTCTCCTCGCTGCTGCATTTACCACCCAAGCTTCACATCCATATAAGTGTTGGTACTATACTATACTTTCATACATTCCCTTCTTTGCTTCCATAGATAACGTTTTTTGACTCCACATACACCTCGACGCACCACTCACCTTTTTTCCCTCATCAATTCTATGAGTAACCTCATCCTTCATAAATCCATCCGCCGACACGTCAACTCCCAAGTATCTGAAAACATTCACTTCTTCCATACTCCTCCTCCCCAATTTGATATCCAATTTTTCTTTATCTAAATCATTTGATACCCTCATCACCTTACTCTTTTCTATGTTCACTTTCAACTTTCTACCTTTACACACATTCTCAAACTCATCCACTAACCTTCGCAGTTTTTCTTTAGAATCTCCCATAAGCACAGTATCATCAGCAAAAAGTAACTGTCAATTCCCATTTTGAATTTGATTCCCCATAATTTAATCCCACCCCTCTCCCAAACAACCTAGCATTTACTTCTTTTACAACCCCATCTATAAATATATTAAACAACCATGGTGACATTACACATCCCTGTCTAAGACCTACTTTTACCGGGAAGTAGTCTCCCTCTCTTCTACACACCCTAACCTGAGCCTCACTATCCTCATAAAAACTCATAGGTATGCTGAGTTCCTCTTTACATTCCTTTAAAACCCTTGCAAACAGTTCATCAGGGCCTTGGGATTTGTTAGGTTTTAATTTCTCTATTTGTCTGAGAACGATGTCACTAGTTACCCTAACCATGCATAGTTTATTATCATCCTGTTCTACATAATTTATTATTTCTGGAATTTCGCTAGGATTTCGCTTGGATTTCTCTTATTTTTTCACAGTGGTTGTTTTGCATATTGTGATATCACCTGTTTACTGTGATCTTATTGCAAAAGTTCTGTATACACTTCTGAAATTTTAGATTTAAGCTCTTTTGTCAGTAACATGAAGGTTAATAAAATATACTGTACTCCTATAAACTAAAGATGTTAACATCCTCTGTGAAAGAGTTACCAGGAAGTAACTCACCTGTGTTGGCCAACGGTCATGATTGGGACACCAGGAATCTTGCGTATTCGTCTCTTGAGGTCTTTATCACAAGTTGCTACAATGTAGCATTTATGCTGGATACAAAACACAGAAAGGGAAACTTTTAGTTCACCTAATTTAAATGAAATGTTACATTTTCAGTACAATGTTGAGCAATACTGAGTTTTATAATGCAAGTAAAGACCAAATGTTTAAATATTTAGATATTACTATTACTGTAGTCTGTATAAATTTTATTTGTTCATGCTGTATAATATTTTTGGTCTAAGACTAAATCATTTATGTAGCAGCATCATTTTAATTTAAATACTGATCTACACTCCCTGTAACTATCAATTCAATAGAATTTGACTTACATGCTCTAAAGACTGCCTTAGTATATGTTTATATGCTTAAAACATAACAAAAAATTTCCTCTAAATTTCATACCTGTGTTATTCGCTGAACAAGACAGTCATCAGCATATATTCCTTTGTGAAGACAAGGCAAGGTTTCAATACGTGGGTCTTTGATAACTTTCAGTGCTAAGCGGTACTTTTCTCCCATCTGTTCCAGTTCTCCTCGGACACACTCAGTTATGCAAGGAATGCACTTAGCATACAAACAGTCCATCATCCCCTATTGAATAAAAATTATCTGGAGGTTGTTTGAGCAGAAAGATGCTGGAGAGGGATAGAATAACAAAGGTGTATAAATCTGGGGTGGAAGGTAGATAAATGGGGTAGAAGTTATCCCGTTAACAGTTGTAGGGAAGAGGTAAGGCGTGTTAGGGACTTATGCAACTAGCAGTCTTGTGCGAGCATCTCTGAATGGAGACAGCAGTTTTTAACAGACATGCTGTTGGAGCGTGAGAAATGCAACGTATATGAAGGGATTCAGGTTAGACTGAGTCCAGAAGGTGGGAAGGGCAGTGCCTACACTCTGAAGAAGGGGTGGGATGCTACAATCAGAGGGTACTCTGAATTATGGTGTCAGCACAGTTCTGGCAAGACACTGACTAGGCACACAAATAACCTGCACATAGGAGAATAAAACTTATACAATGAATGAATGATAAATGTGCTTGCTTTTTTTAGTCACCCTGTCTTGGTGTAAGGTTAAAAAATTAAAATAGTAAAAGTTTATACTTATTAAAATCAAAGCAGTCCTGTGCATAAATAAATAAAAATAATAACGAAATTTGTTAACCCGAGTTATTTCTCAATAATGCCAAATTATCAAATCAAATATGTATTTCAATTTTAACATTTTTTGTCCATAGCACTGATTATCATATAACAAAGGATATAAAAAAAAAACACACTTACCTTAACAATATCTACTCTGTTCTTAATAGCAAAGTTGATAAAATTGGTATCAACAAGTATGTGGTATGGTGGACCCAGCTGTGTGTTATACTCAAAAAAAAGAGCAGAGGAGTACTGTGGACTGCAAACAAGAAAAAAATGATGTAATAGCCACATTATATTTTTTCATGAAGAGCCTGAAAAAATAAACTATATAATTATATAGTACCTCGGTGGGATATGGCTGGCATGTTGAAAAAATTATACAGTACTGTAGTATATTGTATGAGCAGACAGCTATAACCAGCCGAGTTACATAAAAAATTAATATAATAAATAAGTCAGTGAAGGGTAGGAAATCTGCATGTGTAAATACCAAAAATGGCTAACTAAATTATATGAAATATAATAAGAATAAAAAGGTAAAACGGAAATACTGTCCATAACACAAAATCTGCAATTTGTACAACTATGTACTCTTCTCGACATGTCTTCTACACAAGCTGTTGCATACTACCCAAGTCATAATTGTCAATATTAATTACTATATGTAATTACAGGGAGTGTGGAATATTTACATTAATAGTGTTTAAATTTATTACTAGAATAATATGGCATTTTTTTAAACATGCTGGCCACCTACTGCCGAGGCAGGGTGACCAGAAAAAGAAGCACTTTCGCCATCAATCACACTATCACTGTCTTGCCAGAGGTGCACAGATACAACAGTTCATATGTCTCTCTAAACATCAAATATTCCAACCCCTCCTTTATAAACTAATAAGAAAACAATAAAGGCAATATCTCACGCTTCATTTATCTTGTGCTCGTGAGGATCAGGTATTTTTATTTTCTTTGGCTTTCGGTCCTTCTCATTCCTGAAAATAAAAGAGCCAGTCAGTTTCCTTCAATAAGTACTACTAACCAAAATAAAGGTAAATTTTCAACTACATTTCTTTTACAGAATAAGTACCAAAACTACATCAAATCTGAAAATATTAAGCATATATATATTATATATATAGATATATATTAATATATATATTAATATATATATACAGTGGACCCCCGCATACCGATGGCATCACATAGCGATTAATCCGCATACCGCTTGCTTTAATCGCCAAAATTTTGCCTCACATACCGCTTAAAAACCCGCTGACTCAAGAAATCGTAATGACACGATTGCAAATAAACCGCGGGTTCAATCCCGGCCGGGGGTATGGTTTAAAAACCCGCTCACCGATTTTCGTCCGAGACGCGTCCAATGTGCGGCCTGAGCCACGCTCACATGTTCCGCCGGTGGCATTGTTTACCAGCCAGCCTCCGCGGTAACATCCAAGCATACAATCGGAATATTTCGTATTATTACAGTGTTTTCGGTGCTTTTTCTGGAAAATAAGTGACTATGGGCCCCAAGAAAGCTTCTAGTGCCAACCCTACAGCAATAAGGGTGAGAATTACAATAGAGATGAAGAAAAAGATCATTGATAAGTATGAAAGTGGAGTGCGTGTCTCCGAGCTGGCCAGGTTGTATAATAAACCCCAATCAACCATCGCTACTATTGGTGGTACAGCTGCTGCTGCTGCTGCTGCACTGTCAGCTGCTGCTGCTGCTGTAGCATCGTCTGCTGCTGCTGTAACATCGTCTGTTGCTGCTGTAGCATCGTCTGTTGCTGCTGTACCACCGTCAGCTGCTGCTGCTGCTGTAGCATCGTCTGCTGCTGCTGTAACATCGTCTGTTGCTGCTGTAGCATCGTCTGCTGCTGCTGTAGCATCGTCTGTTGCTGTTGTACCACCGTCAGCTGCTGCTGCTGCTGTAGCACCGTTGTTGGTGTGGCTTATTGAGAATACCAAGAAACAATTAACCCCAGAGGGTTAGCCACCCAGGATAACCCAAAAAAGTCAGTGTCATCGAAGACTGTCTTAACTTATTTCCATTGGGGTCCTTAATCTTGTCTCCCAGGATGCAACCCACACAAGTCGACTAACACCCAGGTGAACAGGAAAAAATGCCTGGAACTAGTGCTCATATTGGTGAATTTAAAGCCAGCAAAGGTTGGTTTGAGAGATTTAAGAATCGTAGTGGCATACACAGTGTGATAAGGCCTGTTCTGGAAGAAAATGCCAAACAGGACCTACAGTACTCAGGAGGAAAAGGCACTCCCAGGACACAGTCATCAGTCATTGCTGCATCTTCAATAAAGGTAAGTGTCATTTATTCTTCATTTAGTAGACTAGTACATGCACAATATACAGTGGACCCCCGGTTAACGATATTTTTTCACTCCATAAGTATGTTCAGGTGCCAGTACTGACCGAATTTATTCCCATAAGGAATAATGTGAAGTAGATTAGTCCATTTCAGACCCCCAAACATACACGTACAAACGCACTTATATAAATACACTTACATAATTGGTCGCATTCGGAGGTAATCGTTATGCGGGGGTCCACTGTATACTGTGCATGTACTACTCTACTATTGTGCATGTATCCTTCTCTTTGTGTGTGGGAAAATGTATATTTCATGTGGTAAAAAAATTTTTGTTTTCATACTTTTGGGTGTCTTGCACGGATTAATTTTATTTCCATTATTTCTTATGGGGAAAATTCATTCACATACCGATTATTTCGCATAACAATTACCCCTCTTGCACGGATTAAAATCGTTATGCGGGGGTCCACTGTACAGTGGACTCCCGCATAACGATTACCTCCGAATGCGACCAATTATGTAAGTGTATTTATGTAAGTGCATTTGTACGTGTATGTTTGGGGGTCTGAAATGGACTAATCTACTTCACAATATTTCTTATGGGAAAAAATTCGGTCAGTACTGGCACCTGAACATACTTCTGGAGTGAAAAAATATCGTTAACCGGGGGTCCACTGTACAATATATATATATATATATATATATATATATATATATATATATATATATATATATATATATATATATTATATATATATATATACACATGTATATATATCACATTATATATATATATATATATATATATATATATATATATATATATATATTATATATACATATTTTTTTTTTCAACAAGTCGGCCGTCTCCCACCGAGGCAGGGTGACCCAAAAAAGAAAGAAAAATCCCCAAAAGAAAAATACTTTCATCATCATTCAACACTTTCACCACACTCACACATAATCACTGGTTTTTGCAGAGGTGCTCAGAATACAACAGTTTAGAAGCATATACGTATAAAGATACACAACATATCCCTCCAAACTGCCAACATCCCAAACCCCTCCTTTAAAGTGCAGGCATTGTACTTCCCATTTCCAGGACTCAAGTCCGACTATATGAAAATAACCGGTTTCCCTGAATCCCTTCACTAAATATTACCCTGCTCACACTCCAACAGATCGTCAGGTCCCAAGTATCATTCGTCTCCATTCACTCCTATCTAACACGCTCACGCACGCTTGCTGGAAGTCCAAGCCCCTCGCCCCCAAAACCTCCTTTACCCCCTCTCTCCAACCCTTTCGAGGACGACCCCTACCCCTCCTTCCTTCCCCTATAGATTTTATATGCTTTCCATGTCATTCTACTTTGATCCATTCTCTCTAAATGACCAAACCACCTCAACAACCCCTCTTCTGCCCTCTGACTAATGTTTTTATTAAATCCACACCTTCTCCTAATTTCCACACTCCGAATTTTCTGCATAATATTTACACCACACATTGCCCTTAGACAGGACATCTCCACTGCCTCCAACCGTTCTCCTCGCTTGCTGCATTTACCACCCAAGCTTCACATCCATATAAGAGTGTTGGTACTACTATACTTTCATACATCCCTTCTTTGCCTCCATAGATAACGTTTTTTGACTCCACATATACCTCAACGCACCACTCACCTTTTTTCCCTCATCAATTCTATGATTAACCTCATCCTTCATAATCCATCCGCCGACACGTCAACTCCCAAGTATCTGAAAGCATTCACTTCTTCCATACTCCTCCTCCCCAATTTGATATCCAATTTTTCTTTATCTAAATCATTTGATTACCCTCATCACCTTATCTTTTCTATGTTCACTTTCAACTTTCTACCTTTACACACATTCTCAAACTCATCCACTAACCTTTGCAATTTTTCTTTAGAATCTCCATAAGCACAGTATTCATCAGCAAAAGTAACTGTGTCAATTCCCATTTTGAATTTGATTCCCCATAATTTAATCCACCCCTCTCCCGAACACCCTAGCATTTACTTCTTTTACAACCCCATCTATAAATATATTAAACAACCATGGTGACATTACACATCCCTGTCTAAGACCTACTTTTTACCGGGAAGTATTCTCCCTCTCTTCTACACACCCTAACCTGAGCCTCACTAACCTCATAAAAGCTCTTTCAGCATTTAATAACTTACCACCTATTCCATAAAACTTGCAACATCTGCCACATTGCTCCTCTATCCACTCTATCATATGCCTTTTCTAAATCCATAAATGCAATAAAAAACTTCCCTACCTTTATCTAAATACTGTTCACATATATGCTTCAATGTAAACAACTTGATCTACACATCCCCTACCCACTCTGAAGCCTCCTTGCTCATCCGCAATTCTACATTCTGTCTTACCTCTAATTCTTTCAATTATAACCCTACCGTATACTTTTCCTGGTATACTCAATAAACTTATTCTCTATAATTTTTACAATCTCTTTTGTCCCCTTTCCCTTTATATAAAGGGACTATACATGCTCTCTGCCAATCCCTAGGTACCTTCCCTTCTTTCATACATTATTAAACAAAAGTACCAACCACTCCAACACTATATCCCCCCCCTGCTTTTAAAATTTCTGTCATGATCCCATCAGTTCCAGCTGCTTTACCCCCTTTCATTCTACGTAATGCCTCACGTACCTCCACCACACTTACATTCTACTCTTCTTCACTCCTAAAAGATGGTATACCTCCCTGGCCAGTGCATGAAATTACCGCCTCCCTTTCTTCCTCAACATTTAAAAGTTCCTCAAAATATTCTCGCCATCTACCTAATACCTCCCTCTCCCCATCTACTAACTCCCCTACTCTGTTTTTAAAGGACAAATCCATACTTTCCCTAGGCTTTCTTAACTTGTTTAACTCACTCCAAAATTTTTTCTTATTTTCATTAAAATTTCTTGACAGTGCCTCTCCCACTCTTTCATCTGCTCTCCTTTTGCACTCTCTCACCACTACTCTTCACCTTTCTTTTACTCTCCATATACTCTGCTCTTCTTAAAACACTTCTGCTTTGTAAAAACCTCTCGTAAGCTACCTTTTTCTCTTTTATCACACCCTTTACTTCATCATTCCACCAATCACTCCTCTTTCCTCCTGCCCCCCCCTCCTATAACCACAAACTTCTGCCCCACATTCTAATACTGCATTTTTAAAACTATTCCAACCCTCTTCAACCCCCCCACTACTCATCTTTGCACTAGCCCACCTTTCTGCCAATAGTCGCTTATATCTCGCCCGAACTTCCTCCTCCCTTAGTTTATACACTTTCACCTCCCTCTTACTTGTTGTTGCCACCTTCCTCTTTTCCCATCTACCTCTTACGCTAACTGTAGGTACAACTAAATAATGATCTGATATATCAGTTGCCCCTCTATAAACATGTACATCCTGGAGCCTACCCATCAACCTTTTATCCACCAATACATAATCTAACAAACTACTTTCATTACGTGCTACATCATATCTTGTATATTTATTTATCCTCTTTTTCATAAAATATGTATTACTTATTACCAAATTTCTTTCTACACATAGCTCAATTAAAGGCTCCCCATTTACATTTACCCCTGGCACCCCAAATTTACCTATACTCCCTCCATAACATTTTTACCCACTTTAGCATTGAAATCCCCAACCACCATTACTCTCACACTTGATTCAAAACTCCCCACGCATTCACTTAACATTTCCCAGAATCTCTCTCTCTCCTCTACACTTCTCTCTTCTCCAGGTGCATACACGCTTACTATAACCCACTTTTCACATCCAATCTTTATTTTACTCCACATAATCCTTGAACTTACGCATTTGTAGTCCCTCTTTTCCTGCCATAGCTTATCCTTCAACATTATTGGTACTCCTTCTTTAGCTCTAACTCTATTTGAAACCCCTGACCTAATCCCATTTATTCCTCTCCATTGAAACTCTCCCACCCCCTTCAGCTTTGTTTCACTTAAAGCCAGGACATCCAGTTTCTTCTCATTCATAACATCCACAATCATCTCTTTATCATCATTTGCACAACATCCACGCACATTCAGACTTCCCACTTTGACAATTTTCTTCTTATTCTTTTTAGTAATCTTTACAGGAAAAGGGGTTACTAGCCCATTGTTCCCGGCATTTTAGTTGACTTTTACAACACGCATGGCTTACGGAGGAAAGATTCTTATTCCACTTCCCCATGGATATAAAAGGAAAAGTAATAAGACCAAGAACTATTAAGATAAAATCAAAGAAAACTCAGATGAGTGTGTATAAATAAACATGTACATGTATGTGTAGTGTGACCTAAGTGTAAGTAGAAGTAGCAAGACATGCCTGTAATCTTGCATATTTATGAGACAGACAAAAGACACCAGCAATCCTACCATCATGTAAAACAATTACAGGCTTTCATTTTACACTCACTTGGCAGGACGATAGTACCTCCCTGGGTGGTTGCTGTCTACCAACCTACTAGTACTACTAGTAAATATATAATGATAATGAAAGAGAGAATTAGATATAAAAAAAAGCACAATTATTTAAAGCAAGCATTAAATTCCCATGCAGTCACCAGGAAGAGAAGAAATCTCTTAGCAAACTGCATGTACATGTAAGGAAAAGGAACAAGTATTAAATTCCAATTACTGCAACAACACAAAGTTAAACCTTTATGAATTTGTTTTGCTATTGCTCAAAACATATTATAAATGCTTCAAAGAGGAAATACACTATCTAAAAAGTTAAATAACTTTTCAAATATATATTAAACTAGGCACAGGCCATTACCATCACTCACAAAATACTTACAGTCTTGGGTCATTTAAGCTGATCATTCTCTTCATGACTGCAAACTTCCGAGTTTTCTTTGCTTTCGGCTGAAAGAGATACCACAAATAAAAATAGGAATTTGTAACACTGAAAATGAACACAGCAAAGAACTCATACAGTTTATATAAATAGTAATTATTTTCTAACAAAACACTGAAGAAATACTAAACAGCAGTATGAGAATTTTTTTATAAAAATATGTGAAAGAAAAATATAACAAAATTTATAGTGTAAATTTATTAGGAAGAAAATTTATTTATTTCCATGTATATACATTAATTTCTTACCATATTGCTGGAAATATGAGGCCTAAGGTAGGTGCTGTTTCTTCTTCAATGTACCTGCAGCTTACTTAAGAGATACAAATTTTATACATCTACTCAGATGTCTCTTAGAAGTTAATTTGGATGCTTCTTACAGGTTTCTTCTTAAGGATAATTGGTTTATTCACTTTTCTTCTCCTCCTGATGACTGCATGAACTGCACTGTTGTCTCTCTTGTACTGTTGCTTCACTGATGTCTGTTGCTACTCCTGTTGTAGTGATACAATGATGTCTGTTAATCACTTGCTGCATATCATTATCTAAATTGTAAAGTAAGAGGACACAAGTGCAACTAATGTGACATTTATTGTGGCAACGTTTTGCTCTCCAGGAGCTTTATCAAGCTTGATAAAGCTCCTGGAGAGTGAAACGTTGCCACAATAAATGTCACATTAGTTGCACTTGTGTCCTTTTACTTTACATACTGTCGGTAATTTCTACCAACTTTATTATTATCTAAATTACAAAGAGGTAACAGATTTACAATTAAAATCAATTTCATTTCTTATGAACCATACAAAGAAGTTACGGCAGCTATACATTCCAACTGACCAAATAGGTGTACAGTGGAACCTCAAATATCGAACTTTCTTCGGTCCAGAAGTCTGTTCAAGTGCCTTTACCGAATGAATTTATTCCCATCAGGAATAATGTAAATTAGATTAGTCCATTTCAGACCCTTAAAAATACACTTATAAAAGCACTTACAAAAATACACTTACATAATTGGTTGTGTTGGGAGCAGTTCGATTTTTGAGGTTCCACTGTATTTTGAATTTGATTTTATTATAATACAGATATTATTAGATTCAGCTGATGGTTCATTAGTTACTAATTATGCAAATGCATTTTGGGGAAACTAATCATAAGGCATGCATACTACTTTAATCTAGACCTAGTATATAATTTGTCAGTATAACTTGAGTAATTCATTATAATCACAAGTACAATGAGACAGGTTGCAAATGATGAATTAGCCAATTATAAATAAATTACATTAAGATAAGATTAGATTTGTTGTGATTTTTAACCCAGTGGGTTAGCCACCCAAGATAACCCATGAAAGCCATTGCATCATCGAGAACTATCAGTCTTATTTCTATTGGGGTCCTGCAATCTTGTCCCCCAGGATGCAACTCACGCCAGTCAACTAGCGTACTGCTAGCTGAACAGTGACAGCTGGTGTTGAGGAAATATGCCCAACATTTCCACCCATGCCGGGGATCAAACCACTGACACTTAAGCGTGTGGGGGCAATTGCTTTGCCAACCAAGCCAGGGGACACTGAATTTACACTGGTTCAATAACCTGCATTTTATAGTGGTTGAACTGAGGGGGTGAAATGAAAGTATGAGGAATTACAGACAGTTAACATTTACACATGATTTAATAAGATGTTGACCGATGGGGAACTTTTGGCATTTTCAGGCACTGAATTCCAAATTTTTGGGCCTTCTATTTGCATGGAGTTTTTGATAAAGTTCTGCTGCAACTCCCTAGATAGAATTCAAGCTCTGGCTCAATGTTTGATTCAAGTCTTGCAGATAAAGTGTGCACAGAAGAAAGTGGGAATATTTTGGACATTAAAATCAAGTAAATTTAAACTTTAAAAAAGGCTTACAACACAAGGACCACAACGGAAATAAGTCACTTTGACTTTCTTGGGTTGGCATAATGTAATTTAAACATACATTACTATGTAAGACAATTATGTGATGAAAATGGTTTTGAAAACAAACAAGTTGAAGAATGAGATACTTGTGCAACATTTAGGAACCTTTATTGAGGAAATGTTTCACCAGCCAGTGGCTTCGTCAGTCCAATGCTGAGGATAACAGTGGAAGATGAGGAGGAATTTGAAGTAATCAGTCCCTTAGCCTGGAATCAATGTGTTCACATCTACTCCAGGCGGAGGGACTGATTACCTTAAAATCCTTCTCATTGGTAAGTTCATTTAGGCACAGTTACAATAAGTGTGTGACCTAACCTGACTAGGTTAGGGCATTTGCTTTAGCCGGTAGGAGACTTGGACCTGCCTCGCATGGGTCAGTAGGCCTGTTGTAGTGTTCCTTCTTTCTTATGTTCTAGACTAACCCTGCTGTATAGTCCTTGTGGCTTAGCGCTTCTTTTTGATTATAATAATAATCTAGACTAACCCAAAAATGGTCAGAGTAACATTTCCATTTGGGGTCCTTGTCTTATTAAGCTTATTCAGGTACAGGTACACAGAGTTACATTATTATAATAAAAAAGAAGCTCTAAACCTACTAGGGTCACACAATACAGTTACGTAAATTATCATACATACCAGCATATGTGTAATTACCCAGGATAACCTAAAAATATCAGACATTCTCTATATTGGACTGAAAAAGTCACTGGCTGGCGTAACGTTTCCTCAATAAAGCACCTCAAGGGAGGTTCCTTGACGTTGGTGAGGGGCTCTTGATCTAGGGGATTGGATCTGTGCTCCTGTTGTTTGAATGCCTTCCATCCCCCCTCCCAACAGGCACTGTATAATCCCTACAGGTTTAGCGCTCCTCATGATAATTCCTCAATAAAGACTCTTAAATATTACACAAGTGTCTCATTCTTCAAAATAATTATAATCTTACAAAACTGCATAATACTGTACTAGATTATTCAGCGAGGAGGAGGAGGAGGAGGAGGAGGAGGAGCACCAGCAGCAGCAGCAGCAGCAGCAGCAGCAGCAGGAGCCTCGTGTCACTGCTTCACTTCCACTAAGCGTTCAAGCTTAACATTATTCTTCTTAAGTCCAGCAGTTCATGAAAAATCCTACATATTTATATCAAAACAAAATAATATAAATATATTTACATTATTTAGATACTCTATAATGTAATTCATTTCGGAAATCAATTAATTGTCAAATTATTTTGATGGATGAAAACGATCCAACCAAAATGTAAACAATAGAGATCATGAATATAAAAGTTTATTACATAGTATTTATCTTCTAAATTATTATTATTATTATTATTATTATATATATATATATATATATTATATATATATATATAATATATATATATATATATATATATATATATATATATATATATATATTATATATATATATATATATATAATATTGAATACCAAATACCGGGCGGGGACTCGAACTGTGGTCCTTGCATATACAAGGCCCAACGCTATAGCCACTCAGCCACGGAGCTTATAATAGGATGACTTTACAAGAATCACAACTGTGACTTGTTTGTATCAGCAGCATCAACTGTGACACTACGGTCTTTTCCCACATTATAATTATGGGGAGCGCTAAACCCGTAGGGTGGGGATGGAAGGAATTCAGGCTCAATTCAGGGAACCGAAGCACAGATCCAATTCCCTAAATCAAGAGCACCTCACCAGCGTCAAGGTACCGCCCTTGACGGGTCTCTTCCTACAGCCCCGTTAGTTTTCACAATACATTTATCCTCATACCCTACACACCCAATTATCATCATCATCATAACTAAACGCTAAACACAGCCAGATAGTACATAAACCTAAGTTGAATCATAATAAAGAACCCTCAATGATTCAAAAAGTCGTCCAGACACGATTTCAAACAACCCACGGTACGGGTGAGGGTTGAACTCGCGGCTAATGAGTCGTAAAACTCCAGACCCTCAATGAATAAAGAGAATACTGGGTGGGTGGGGACAAGAACTGTGGTCCAACCCTGTAACCCACTCAGCCATGAAGTACAGCACCGAGACTCAGCTCCTGGGCCCAGTGTCAGCACAGGTGTGGGCTCTCGTCAACACCTTCGCCACCACCAGCCTTCAACAGGTATTTCCGGAGTCATTAACACCAACAATAACACACCACGTTCATTGTTGCTACTTTATTTGTTACAACAACATATTTTAACTTTTATTATTAGTATTATTTATTGTTATTATTAATGGTTGTTTTTATTTTTGTATTATATTATTTCATAGTAGTAGCTGCAGTAATAGTAGTAGGTGTAATAGTACTAATAGTAGTAGTAACAGTAGTACTTATAGTCGTATTAGTAGTGGTAATAGTCGTATTATAGTGGTAATAGTCGCATTATAGTGGTAATAGTCGTATTAGCAGCAGCAGCAGCAGTAGTAGTAGTAGTAGTAGTAGTAGTAGTAGTAGTAGTAGTAGCAGCAGCAGCAGCAGCAGCAGCAGCAGCAGCAGCAGCAGCAGCAGCAGCAGCAGTAGTAGTAGTAGTAGTAGTAGTAGTAGTAGTAGAAGTAGTAGCAGCAGCAGCAGAAGCAGCAGCAGTAGTAGTAGTAGTAGAAATAGCAGTAGTAGCAGCAGCAGCAGCAGAAGCAGTAGTAGTAGTAGTAGCAGTAGTAGTAGTAGTAGTAGTAGTAGCAGCAGAAGTAGAAGTAGAAGTAGCAGTAGCAGCAGCAGCAGCAGCAGCAGCAGCAGCAACAGTAGTAGTAGTAGTAGTAGTAGTAGAAGTAGCAGCAGTAGCAGCAGCAGCAGCAGAAGCAGCAGCAGCAGTAGTAGTAGTAGTAGTAGTAGTAGTAGTAGTAGTAGTAGTAGAAGTAGCAGCAGCAGCAGCAGCAGCAGCAGCAGCAGCAGTAGTAGTAGTAGTAGTAGTAGTAGTAGTAGTAGTAGTAGTAGTAGAAGTAGCAGCAGCAGCAGTAGTAGTAGCAGCAGTAGTAGTAGTAGAAGTAGAAGTAGCAGCAATAGCAGCAGCAGCAGCAGCAGTAGTAGTAGTAGTAGTAGTAGTAGTAGTAGTAGTAGTAGTAGCAGCAGCAGCAGTAGTAGTAGTAGTAGTAGTAGTAGTAGTAGTAGTAGTAGAAGTAGCAGCAGTAGCAGCAGCAGCAGTAGTAGTAGCAGCAGTAGTAGTAGAAGTAGCAGCAGCAGCAGTAGTAGTAGTAGTAGTAGTAGTAGTAGTAGCAGCAGCAGCAGAAGCAGCAGCAGCAGCAGCAGCAGCAGCAGCAGTAGTAGTAGTAGTAGTAGTAGAAGTAGCAGCAGTAGCAGCAGC